CTTAAGGCTACATGACCACTACCCCTGGCTTGTAAGTCCTTAGGCGACTCCCCACACGAAAGTGATGGCATTCGCTGTAAAAGATCCACTAAGAGCTCCAATATCTCTTGCTCTAGAAAATAGAGGTCTAAGGGGTTGGATGGATTAGTTTGGGCAATGATCCTATAGCCTCCAAGGTTTGATTCTCACTGGCTAACCCCCTGTTTCTGAGATCATTCCTTGGTTGATAGCCTCACCTTGGGAAAGGGTTGGCTAGGCATTGAGAAGCCCAATATCAAGAGAAGCCTTGATACAAGGAGTTTTAAGAGCTAGATTGATTAAGTGTAGATTCCTTTGATTGCAAAACCCTGTCTTGAACCCTAATTCTCTCTTTATCTTGTTAAAGTCGCACCTTTACTTTGTTTGTCTCAACTCGACCCTAAACTCGATCGAGCTGGTACTTTGCTCTACTCGACTCGAGTCTTGGTCGAGCTGACACTTCACTGCTTTGTTTACTTTTATTGCACTGCATTTTCATTTTATTTAGGTTGTTAGTGTTACTTCAAATCTTTAACTGCTTGCTTGACTTCCTGGTTGTTTCATATTCTCATAGAGTGACAAGTTTTCCCATTTTGGATTGATAACCTCTTGTACTACATTGACTATGATGGTTAAGAGGAATTGATTGATTGTGATTGCACCATTTCATCTTCATTCACCCTGTTTGCATTCCACCTCATATCTTATCATCCTTCATTCATATCATATCACATCCACATAAAATCCTATCATCAGAGGTCATGCTCGAATGAGCCTATCTCAGAATCTGCTGCCTTAACTCCACATCCTTAGGCACACAAACTCTCCCACGAACCAAAATAGTCCCATTCGCAGAGACCTCATACTCAGAACCAGTCACTCTCGTCGCATCCAGCAAACTCTGATCACTCTGCTGAGCAACTCTGATCCTGCTAAGTAGATCTGCCTGATCCACTGCCTCTAAACCCAAAGGCTCCTGCGAAATGGCACACAAACGCAAGGTATGATCTCGCCAACTAGAGACTCCACATCTCGCTCACAGCTCAATCATACCTCCGTCTACTCAACGCGTCCGCCACTAGGTTAGCCTTGCCCGGATGATAGTTAATGTTCACCTGATAGTCCGCCAAGAACTCAACCCAGCGCGTCTGTCTCGCGTTCATCATCGGCTGAGTAAAGATATGTTGAAGACTCTTGTGATCCGTAAGACCTGCACTTGTCTCACCAGCAAGTAAGACCTCCAAATCTTCAGTGCAAAGATCACCGCTCCCAACTCAAGATCATGTGTAGGACGGTTACGCTCACTGCCCTGCCACTGTCTCGAAGCATATGCAATAACTCTGCCCTCCTGCATCAGCACACAACCAAGACCAATGCCTGAAGCATCCGTATACACCTGATAAGGCTTCCCTGGCTCGGGTAACGCCAAAACCGGTGTAGTAGTCAACATCTCCTTGAGCTTCCCAAAGCTCTCCTCACACTCAGCTGACCAAACAAATGGGACATCCTTCCCAGTCAACTTTGTCATAGGCTGCGCCATAGTAGCAAACCCCTTGACGAACCTCCTGTAGTATCCTGCCAAACCCAGAAAACTTCTGATCTCTGTGGCATCTAGGCCAATCTCTGATAGCCTCAATCTTAGCCGGATCCACAGAAACTCCCTCTGCAGAAACAATGTGGCCAAGAAATCCCATCTCTCGCTGCCAGAAACTGCACTTGCTCAACTTAGCAAAAAGCTTCTGCTCCCGAAGCTTCTCCAGAACCAACCTCAAGTGAGTCGCATGCTCCTCTGACTCCTCGAGTACACCAAATTCATCAATAAAATAATGACGAACACGTCCAAATACTCCCTGAACACGTCGTTCATCAATCTCATGAAGGCTGCCGGCGCGTTAGTCAAACCAAAAGGCATACCACAAACTCAAAGTGCCCATAACGCGTCTTGAAAGCAGTCTTCCTGACATCTGCCTCATCTATCGGATCTGATGATACCCCGACGCCAAGTCAATCTTATAGAACCAAGTAACACCCTCAACTAATCCAACAACTCATCAATCCTCGGGAGTGGGTACTTGTTCTTCACAGTGACTCAGTTAAGACCTTTGTAATAGATACCTTGTGCGGGTACAATATTTTTGAATAAATCAATTATTAAAGATTTAAATAGCACAAATAATATAATTTATGATTGTTGACTCTTAAACTTATTTGCGTGTGTAACATCCGTAACCCATTTTGTTGGTGTTTTAAAAGTTGCATCGAGTGACGTAAGAGTTGCGTCAGTCGACGCAAGAATTTCAAAATCAGACCCGGTTTGATTTAAGTCAATTGGGTCCGGTTTGGCCCGGTTAAGGTCTGGAAACCCTGATTTTCGTTTTAAAAGAGAAGCAGCCGTCAGTTCTTCACAATTTTCGAGGCTGAGTTTTCCAGAGGCGGAATGAGGCGATTTTGGAGTGATCTTCGAGTTCTGGTGTTGGATTGGAGTTCTGTTCCTGGTTGTGCATCGTTCTCCCTCTTTTCCCCTCTTTTCAATCCGATTTGAGGTGAGTGCATGACTGTAGGTCCGCAAATCACTAGATTTGGATTGATTGAATGTTGTTTTTGAGGCGTTCTTATGATATGAGGTTTATGTGATGATGTTTGGGTGATTTATGTGTTAATTCTGTGTTTCTGCGTGATTTGTTGATATTTTTGTCGACCTGACGGACGTGCGTCGGGCGACGCAGCCGGTTTAGTCTGTTTCAATTCAAAATTGATTTCTGGTTTAATTTAAGTAACTAGGTTTGAAGCCCCGTGCAAGCGAGGGTTATTTGGGATAGTTTTTTGTTTAATTTGATTTATACTCGTTGATTTGAATTATGATGGTTTTGTGTTAACTTTCATCTTTTTGTTATGTTTTGAGTTAACCCAACCAATAACATTAAAAAATATGAACAATTTGTTTTTTTGTTTACTTCTATTAGACTATAAACATGTATATGCATTTGACTCAACGTTAAAATTTGTAAACATAATGTAAAATTGCATTTTCACCCGAAATAAGATGAAAAAAATAATATGTATACCTTTTTACATATCTACTTTGTTTTGTTAGAATGTGAGCCTCGTGACCATTGAGTATTTTTTACTATGTTGGTTTTGTAAATATAAATTATATTTTTGAAACAAACATATCACAATCCTTAAAATATTCATGTTTTTCACTGCAATTAAATTTACGTATAAAAACCCTACTTTCTATTTGTTTCAAAAAACAAACTCTAACTTTAATTTCTCACTAACTTTCTATTATAATTAATTTATATTCAACTCTTTAACTTGTAAACACATTATAACATTTTTAAATCGGATAAATCCTTTGAATAAAAAGGTAAATACATATTATTTCAAGTTAAATATTTCTTTACTCCATCTCCATTTTATATTCCAACTTTTTGATAACTTTTAACATCAAGTTATCACATAATTTATATTAATTAATTTATTTATTTGTGTATTTGTCTTAGTTTTATTTATATTTAAAATATGAATAAATGTAAAAAATATGAATAGTCATATATCTAATAAATATTTTAAATACAATTTAATGTTTTTGTGCTGATGTGGACACTCTAGATGGAGAGAGCAACTCTCCTATGTATATATAAGATTTCTGGTTTAAATCTGGTTAATTGGTTTAATTCGGATTTAATTAATTAAAGTATTTAATTAATTAAGTGGTTAAAATAATTATTTAAATTATTTTAAAATATGGAAAATTATTATTTAATTATGAGAATTATTTAATAATTGAGAAATAATTTAAATGAGAATTATTTAATAATTGAGAAATGAAGTTTTAATTATTAATAATTATTTAATAATTGGAAAATGGTATTTAATAATTATTGGAGTTTATAAATATTATTAAATATCTAGTAAATTGCGTAAATGGCCTGTAGGCAGAGTGATTGCCTCACTAAGTATTTATTAAATACTTATGCAACTCCATTCCAATGTGTTGCAGGTAAAAGATTTGTGTGATCGCGGAATCAAGGCTGAAGAGGGGGATGATAGGATGTTTATTGCTTTTATTTATTTTGCATTGTTTTGCTAGACTTGTTTAATTATTATTTGCTTCCGCTGAACTGATTTATTTGTTATTGATATTTATTTATTTAATTTATTTTAAAGACCTTCGCTAGAATTGATTAGTATTTAAATAAAAAGTGTTGGTTGTTTCTGTATGAAATTCATATATATAAAATCTTATTTTTACCCATATTTATATAGTTTTAGTTTACAAAAAAGTAAGAATTTCTTTCATTTTATTATTGTGGTATATATGTAAACAGTATTCTCAATTTTTCTGTCAATAACAAATATTTATAGATTGGCTTGGAGATATAAATCGGTGAAATAGATTTGTAATATATATATAACTTCTTAATTTGTAAAAAAAACAAATTACTCCATGGACATGAACTATTTTAAAAACTAAATTTTTTTTTATTTTATTATCCAAAAACAAAAGCATACATAATTCAAAACATTACAATAAAGTCTAAAAAAAATGAAACAAAATAAATTATCTAACTTAATATGATAGAAACTTGAGTATTGATATTAAAATAAATACAGAAGAAGAGTTATTATATAGTACAATGTACATTAGTCAATCTCATAATTTACTTTAATTTTAAATATTTTATGTTTGTCCACTTAGTTTAATGCATCTTTAAATATTTTTATTTATCTCATCTTTATCTTTGTTTCTCTTTACCTTCCATTTTTTCTTCTTTGATTTATTTTTCCTACACTTTGAGTTTACTTCTTCTTCTTCAAGTTTTCCATCTTTTTTTTCATTGTATTCTTTTTCTTACTCCCATTTTTATTCACTCTTGTCTACATCTCTTCTTTCACTTTTCAATTTAGTTTATAGTTTAGATATTTAAGAATTCAATAAATAGTTTTATCTATATATAATTATTATCTTTTAAAAATCTATTGATGTTGTTATATTCTGATTTATGATTTGTTTTAATTGATTTAATTTTTTCTATTTGTGAATGTATTTTAGAATTAGATATATAAATTTATAATCAATGATTTTTAGTTTTGATAAACTTTCATAATAATTCAAAATTTTAAAAATGCACCAAAAAATAAATCATACACCCACAAATATAAACCCTACACCCTAAACCCAAACCATATTATAACCCCCCCCACCCCCACCCAGGTCCTCCCCTCCCTCCCCTATACCATACACCGGAACCCACATTACAAATTAATTCTGGACATATTTTTATTTTTAAAATAAGTTATTTTTTCTCTTTATAATTGGTAATGTTTGTATATTCAAGTTTTTTAAAATGCATTAAAAACAAAACCCTACACCCTAAATCCTAACCTCACATTATAAACCCCTAGCCCCAAAACAGTACACCATAAGTCCTCATTACACACTTGTTCTCGATTTGCTTTTATTGTTTTAGTTTCTGTTTTTTTTTTTTAAGTTGTTATTGTTTTTGTTTTTAATCTGCAATGTTTGTGTATTCAAATTTAAAAAATTTCACGAAAAACTAAACCCTACATCCATCAATATAAACTCACACCCTAAACCTTAACCCAAATTGTAACCCCCTCTGCCTAAACCGTATACCCTAGCCTCACATTACAAACTTGTTGTGGATTTACTTGTTTTAGTTTTTTAATTTTTTTTTTTTTTAAATGATGATAGTATTAGAATGATAAGACAAAAAAATGAATCATATATATCAACTAGGAGGTGACCCGCGCTTCGCGCGGAAACTTATATTATTGTGTTAATTTTATTGTTTTTCCGCAAATTTAGTTTATTTCTATTGTTTATTATTGTTTGAAAAATATTACATATATTAATTAAAAATAATTAGGATTAGGCAAAATTAACGTACTGTTTTGTCCCATTGTATCCCATTTCGTTCAATTTCATCATGTCGATTCTTTCTCGTCTCATCCGTCCTGTCTGCCCTGTCCCGTCCTGTAACACCCCCGAACCGACCTAGGCACAGACGTTCCGAGAAGCGCCACAAAATGACGAAGTTCGCCGAATAGGCCATCCCAGACTAAGAACAAATCAGAGCCCAGGTCAGCCCGTCCCACGAACTCGACCCTCTTGACCAAAGCCTAAGGCTTGCCAACCCGTACTTCGGTCAGGAGTTGTGTTAGCCCGGACCAAGCTAATATCATTGGAACATAAGGTCTTTACATAAAAACTTTCCTTTTATTAAATATCAGAGCGCATTACAAAATCTGACTTATTTAAAAACATGCGGATCGATCCTTAGTTCCAAAACCAAACAACAAACCATATTTTACAAAAACATACCACAAAACTATTCTGGTCGCCTACTGCCTGCAGCGGTCCGCTCTACTTCACACCTCTACGGTTACCTGAAAAACATTGAACAAAAGGAATGAGTAATCTAATATTACTTAGTGAGTCTAGGACCTCTATACAAGGGGGATTCCCTAAACTCCAGAACGCCGCGGACTTGTAATCCCGCCTCCATCTGCATTGAGGTTAGCACAACACAACATATGCAATCACATGCAATATTGATGCCATAGTGATCGCGGGATCAGGTCTTCCCTTTTCCTATCCCTGATTCTGCAAGTGCACAGATCAAAAGTAGTAAACGGGTATCGAACACAAGGAGCAGATAAGTACACTTTTGATTGCTAGAAAACAAGTATGAATCAAACAACAAACAGAAACGGTTTATGAAAATCAATAAAGGGAAACGCTAGGCAATGAGAAACTCGCAGAGATTCAAGGTTAACAAGATATTAGAAGGGTTCGCTAGGGTTTGCGCTATCTAGAACTCAGGTCACGATTGTATGATCTTTCCACTGTCGAGGCTCCGACCCCTTTGTTAATCTACCTAGTCGCTAAACTTTTGGTATGTCCCTAGGTGATTAAATCAAGCAATAGTTCGTTCAAGACCCAATTGTTCACAACCCCGCATAGATCAACTTTCGCAGTCTATGAAGTTTTGCTCACCAAATACTTAGTTCAGGTTATATAGCAAGCTTTTGGAGAGTATATGAAACCTAAGATCTGATGCTAGTTGATCAGAAAAGCAAGCAGCAATGAATTCAAGCAGAGAAGATGCGAATATAAACCCTAGACTTCTAACAACCTATCAAACCATGAACTCTTTGATAGATCTCACAACCTAACTAGTGAATTACTCAGACATAATCAAAGCAAAAACACAAAGAGATGAAGAAAACATGATTGCAATAAAACTAAGTATGAAATCGAAATACAAGGGCGGCTCTCTTTCACAAGAGGCTAAAAAGCTATATATATAGTGCTAGGTCTTTTAGAGGCGGCTTAGGGTTAAGCCGGGCTTGAAAATATGAAATTTGGGCTTCAAAAGGGCTTCGGGTCGACCGCGGCGTTGGGACGGTCGGTCGGGACGATCGGCCGGACAATCGGGTCGTGGCCGAGTCGGAACGGTCGTGGCCGGATGGATTCACGGTCGGCCGGCGTGGTCGGACGGATGAGATTTGGCCGATGAAATCTCGGCCGGACGCGAGGGTTTTTCCCGGCTCGCGGCGTGTCGTGCGCGGCGTGGCGTGAGCGGTTGTGGCGTGGCCGACCGCGGGCAATTTTCCCGGGTCGTGATTGCGTGATCGGCCGACGGTTTGGACTTTGGCCGAGACTTCAGACGGACGGACGTATTTGGCCGAGCGCGGAACATTCGTTCCTCGGCCAGCCGGACTGCGCGGTTGGGCGCTGATTCTCGATAGAGCCGTCTGGACAGTCTTCACTCTTTTGGTTGTAACTCCTTTTCTACTCATCCAAATGAGGCCATTCCAGTTGCGTTGGAAAGTTAACTCAATCAGAGCACGCAGGGAACTGGTCTTGATGAAATCCATTGAGTAGATCTTTTTCTGGGCCCTCTTAAAGTTGGTGCTTGTGCATGGAGCGGCTTGAAGTGCAAATCCTATGGTTTTGCTCCAAAATGCATCATTTCACCTGTTTAGACTCTAGACACTATAAACACAGTAAAACTACCTTTTTAGATAGAAAACCTGCCAAAAACCATTAGAAAACAATGCTAAAACAGTATAAAAAGTGGTAAAATAGAGGTATATCAACTCCCCCAGACTTAGATCTTTGCTTGTCCTCAAGCAAAAAGAATCTAAATCCGTGAAAGAGGTTTGAAAACGTGGAAGCTCCCTTGCTCTTTTGAATATCCTGTGAAAGGTTCCTTTCCTGTATTCCACTATGAACATAGACAACATAAGGTTAGCTTCACATACACCCTGCAAGTTTAGCGAACAATACCAACCCAACTAGTCTCATCCAGCAATCCAAACTCTCTATTGCTAACCTCTTGCATAAATTTAAAGCGTGAATTCTTTATCAAGGGGACATCGATCAATTGAACTTGTTCTTACCCACTTGATCCTCTCCAAGATTGTCTTTAAGTGCAATGAGTTCTTTTCCTCTCTCTTTCTCACATCAGAACTTTGAAAGGTCAATTTCTCCCTACTTTTCTAGGGTATCATTTTATTTTTTCTATTGACCCTTCTTTCAACCACAGGATAAGTCTTTAGCTTGTTCCTTGTTTGACTAAGGTATTCCATAAGACATGAAGGTACAGACATATGCATTCCTCATGCTTACTTGTTTTCCTTGTGCTCTTTGAGCTTTTTCTCATAAATTACTTACCATTTGGGATGGGAGAGAGAGGAGAACTCTTTAAAGATTAGACAAATCTTATTGAAAATCAAGCAAGGAACTGTCGACATGTATGCCAACCCCCTTGACAAGAGTATTAAGATTGATTAAGGGTGAGGTTAACTCTAGATTGCTTGGTTACCTTAGAAATTTTGCTGAGCTAGCATGTCGATCCACTGTAAGAGCTTCTGTTAGGCTTGTGCCTTTAGCTGGTTTCTGCTCTAGGGTCATGGATTGTTAGCATAACACTCTCAATTCTCAAAGCAAGTTCATAACTTCCGGACTGGTTTTTGACTCAATAAAACTTTTTGAAAAACATGAAACAAAGTGAATAAAACATAAGAAAAGAAAGAAAAATGCATTAGTAACACAATAAAACTCCCCCCAGACTTAACTTGCACCGTCCCGGTGAAAGCAAATCACATTAAGGTGAGAGGTAATATTCAAAGTAAAAGAATAAAGAAAGAAAATGAAAAGAAATGACCTTCAATGGGTTGCCTCCCATTCAGCGCTTTGTTTAAAGTCATTAGCTTGACTGTATGGCACTTCCTTAAGGATCTGGTGGATCGCCAAGAGCAGTGTGGTCTCCTGTGGTATGGTGGTGGAGGCTAGGTAGGGTTTTAACCTTTGTCCATTGACTGTAAAGTCTCCTCCCATTGGGTCCCATAATACCACTGCTCCATAGGGGCGAACTTCTTTAATCCTGAATGGTCCTGACCATCTTGAGCGAAGCTTTCCTGGAAAGAGTTTCAACCTTGAGTTGAATAGTAGAACTTGGTCGTTTGGCGCAAAGTTCTTTGGGATGATCTTGCGGTCATGGAAAGCTTTGGTTCTCTCCTTATAGATCTTTGAATTCTCATAAGCCAGATGCCTAATCTCATCAAGCTCATTCAGCTGAATCAATCTTCTTTCTCCTGCTGTCTTTAGGTTGAAGTTCAACTCCTTAATAGCCCAAGCTGCTTTGTACTCCAGCTCCACAGGTAAATGACATGCTTTACCATAAACAAGATGAAAGGGGGTGGTACCAAGTGGTGTTTTGAAGGCAGTGCGTATGCCCATAGAGCATCATCTAGTTTGGCACTCCAATCCTTCCTTGTCTTGCCTGTTGTCTTCTGAAGTATGCTCTTGAGTTCTCTGTTTGAGATCTCAACTTGTCCACTAGTTTGGGGGTGGTAAGGAGAGGCAACTTTGTGAGTAACTCCATGCTTCTTCAAAAGGTTGGCAAAGATTCTGTTTATGAAATGTGAACCTCCATCACTTATGACTATCCTAGGCACTCCAAACCTTGGAAAAATGATGGATTTAAACATCTTGATGACCACTTGTGCGTCATTAGTAGGGCTGGCAATGGCTTCCACCCATTTGGAGACATAATCAACTGCCACTAGAATGTATTGGTCGCCAAAAGAGGTTGGGAAAAGGTCCCATAAAGTCAATGCCCCAAACATCAAAAACTTCAACTTCTAGTATAAAGTTCTGTGGCATCTCATTCCTCTTGCTTATATTTCCCATTCTTTGGCAAGCATCACATCTTGATATGAATGCATGAGCATCCTTAAACATAGTTGGCCACCAAAATCCAGCTTGTAGGACCTTGGATACTGTCTTGTAAGTGGCAAAGTGCCCTGCATAGCTAGAACTATGACAAGCAAACAATATTCCTTCTACTTCTTCCTCAGGTATGCATCTTCTAAACATTCCATCTGAACATTTCTTGTATAAGTAAGGTTCATCCCAGTAGTACCTTCTTACATCACGCAGAAACTTCTTCTTTCTGTAGCCAAAGAAGTTTGGTGGTGGGTATTCAGCTGCAAGGAAGTTTGCTATGTGGCGAAACCATGGTGTGTTTGATGATGAGATCTTTGTTCCTGGCCTGTGATGGCCTAGTTGTCCATGCTTATTGCTAGCTTCAGCTGCATAAACTGATTCTTCAGGTAGCCTATCATCAAGGGTAGATTTTCTTCAACTCTCATCCTTGAAAGATGATCAGCTACTCCATTATCTGCTCCTCTTCTATCCTTGATCTCAAGATCAAATTCTTGCAATAGTAGTATCCATCTCAACAATCTTGGCTTGGCATCTTTCTTGGATAAGAGATACCTTAATGCTGCATGATCAGAGTGAACTATAACTTTTGATCCCACCAAGTATGATCGAAACTTTTCAAATGCAAAGACAATAGCTAGAAGCTCCTTTTCTGTTGTGGCATACTTGCATTGTGCCTCATCAAGCGTTCTGCTGGCATAATAGATCACATGTAGCTTCTTGTCTTTTCTTTGTCCAAGCACTGCTCCTACTGCATAATCACTTGCATCACACATTATCTCAAAAGGTAGTTCCCAGTTTGGAGGTTGAACCACTGGCGCACTGACCAATGCCTCTTTGATCTTAGTGAAAGCCTTGTGACACTCCTCTGTGAACTCAAAGTTAATATCCTTGCATAATAGGCGTGTTAGCGGCCTTGCTATCTGTGAGAAATCTTTAATGAACCTCCTGTAGAACCCAGCATGTCCTAGGAAGCTTCTGATATCTTTCATGTTGATATATCCATATCTTTCATGTTTTTACCAAGGTTTTCACTATGTTTTAATACAAATAATGTGGTTTTTAAGCCCAAGAGGTAGTTTTCTTGTATATTCTGGTTTTGAGCATCATTCAGGTCAAAATAGCAAAGAAGAGTCCAAAATGGAGCAAAAAGAGTCAAATCACCAAGTTCCCAAGTCTAGAGCACCAAAATCTACATTTCTCGCTAAAGACCAAACCGGAGCATCCGAAGTACGACCGCATGTTCATGCCTTCCCGACGTCCAAAAGTCATGATTCTTATATGGAAAGATAGATATTTGAGTCATGACCCGCGGCGAAGTGGAAAGAGGTCATTTGGATCACTCGTTGGACCGGAACTTATTTTCTACCAAGACATGTCCGACGAGCGCCTAAGTAGAGCCCATGGAGACTTTGATGGATCAAGAGGCCCGAGATACCGCGCCCAAGGCCTTGGCTCATCTTGACACTAGCATAACTCAATCCAGAAGCTTCCATTGGCCTGAACGCGGCCCATTCAAGAACTTGGAGAGCAAGCTCAAGCGGCTAAAGAGAAATGGAAACTTTCCTCTTCTGCGCGCGCTCAACTTTGCCGACCTAGACCCGCTCTCTACCTATATATACTTGCTTTTAGCCTCTTGTAATAAGAATCACCAGCCGCATAACAAGAAACACTTATTCAATAAAGTTCGGAGCCACTTAGGTGGTCTCCTTCTTCTTTCTTTTCTTCTTTTGCATTTGTATATAGCTTGCATGTTTCAATTTATATAGTCTAGAAGTAGAGATTTCTCCCTAAGGGTGAGGCGTGGTTTAGTCATATTCCGCCGCCTCTCTCTCTAAGGATTCATGAGACTTCATCTACTATCTAAGACTCATTGTTGAATTATGGATCCTTCCAATGAGGACGTGATATAATGGCCATCGAAAATCGATTGTTAAAAGGGGAAACCCTATGGTTCTCCATCTTTATTTATGCTTAATGCCTGTTGCTAGAGTAGCTAACTAGTGACTTGATTTTAGGTTGATATACTCTCCAAAAGCTTGTTATATCTCCGGACATAGTATTTGATGGGCAAATCGTTTTAGGCTACGAAAGTAGACCTAAAGAGTTTTGTGAACAATCATTACTTGGATGTAATGCATGTCTCACTCTACAATGACCAACGAAAGCTGAGCCCATTGGTTTAAGAGACATAGGGGATTGGAACCACGAAAGTGGAATAATCCTTCCTTAGTGTTTTGAGTTCAAAAGAATCGGATTTTAACAAACTTTTCAATCGACTTGGCTCATGTTTTCAAAAGAGTTTTCAATAGTTCAATAATGTTGCTTGTATAGAATTGCATTGTTATTTCTTTTGCGTGTTCTAAACAAACACAAACCCTTGCATCTTTTGATTTAGCTTAGTCATTTAAACTCTATGATTATGTAATGTGTGAAATCCAATCCCTTGTGGTTCGACCCCTAAATACTACAATTATATGTTGTGCACTTGCAACACTAGTTGTCTTAGGGAATTATTACTTGTACTCATCCCATAGATGCCGCATCAACTGTCTTGGGCGGCTGAAGGTTTGTCATTACTTCAATCTTGGCCTTGTCAACTTCTATGCCTCTCTCTGAGATTCTATGTCCAAGCACTATTCCATCTCTAACCATAAATGGCACTTCTCCCAATTTAGAACTAGGTGCTTGTCTTCACATCTCTGTAGCACTCTTCCAAGATTTCCCAAACATGATTCAAAGGAAGAACCATATACTGAGAAATCATCCATGAAAACCTCCATAATCTCTTCTATTAGATCTGTGAATATGGACATCATACACCTTTGGAATGTAGCTGGAGCATTGCACAATCCAAAAGGCATTCTCCTATAAGCATATGTGCCATAGGGACAAGTGAAGGTAGTCTTCTCCTGATCATCTGGGTGGATTGGAATTTGGAAAAATCCTGAGTATCCATCCAAGAAACAGTAGTATTGATGATTGGCAAGGCGCTCAAGCATCTGATCTATGAATGGCAAGGGGTAGTGGTCCTTGCGCGTAGAGGAGTTCAGTTTCCTGTAGTCGACACACATTCTGTGTCCAGTGATTGTTCTTGTTGGAATGAGCTCATCATGTTCATTCTTGATGACTGTGATCCCTCCTTTCTTTGGCACGACATGTACAGGGCTGACCCATGCACTATCTGATATTGGATAATCACTCCAGCTTTCAATAGCTTCATTATCTCCTTCTTGACAACTTCCTTTAGGTTTGGGTTTAGCCTCCTTTGGTGTTCAATTGAAGAACTAGACTCATCCTCCAGGATGATGCGATGTGTGCATAGTTCAGGTGAGATTCCTGTTAAATCATCCAAAGAATAACCAAGAGCCTTTCTATGCTTTCTCAGTTCGCGAACAAGTAAAGCGGTCTCTTCTTTTGTTAGTGCAGCATTAACAATAACAGGATATGTTTCATTAGGACCAAGATATTCATACCTTAGACCAACTGGGAGTTGTTTGAGCTCGGCTTTTGGAGCTCTAAGTGGGCACCATGGGTCGAACTTAACTTTGGTTTGTGATATTTCCTGACCTTGTCAATGTCTGGCTCTTCCTCTTCTCTCTCTAAGTCCATATAAGCTATCAGCTCTTTATAAGCTTCCTTTGAATCCATGAACTTGACTAAGCATTGAGCTTCTCTTTCCATGTATCCATACTCATTCTCAGCCTTTGTCAAAGCTAGCTCCAAGGGATCAATAAGAAGGAGTTCATCCAGCACTTCTTCTCTTGTCTCTGCGAGCTCTCCAATCCAAAAAGCTTGACCATCTACAGTTGGTTTCTCCATAGACTTGTTTACCTTCGAAATTCATCACTATATCTCCAAGATGCAAGTCAATCTTTCCATTCTTGACATCTATTATAGCTCCTGCAGTAGCTAGGAATGGCCTTCCCAAGATAAGAGGGTCTTTAGGTTGGTGTTCCAGCTCAAGAACTACAAAATCAGCAGGGATGTAGCAATCTCCAACCATGATTGGAACATCCATAATAACACCAACAGGGCGGCGAACAGATCTGTCTGCAAAGACTAGAGATATCTTTGTAGGTTTGAAGTCAGTGATGCCCAATAGCTTGGCCACTGAGTAAGGCATTAGGTTCACACTAGAACCCAAATCACAAAGTGCTCTATGGAAGTGTGTAGAACCGATCTTGCAAGACAAAACAAAACTCCCTGGGTCGTTCAGCTTCTCTGGCATGCGATTCTGAAGTATGGCACTACACTCCTTTGTAATCATCATTGCTCCTTCTTCAAGACTCACATTGCTTGTGAGTATGGCTTCATATACTTCCTGAGAGATGGAATTATTTGGCAGGCATCAATGAAAGGTAACCTTACTGAAAGTTGGCTAACAAGATCCTTGAGCTTTGCTTGCTCCTTCTCCTTCTTGGGTTGAGAAAGAACATTTCTGTATGGGATCTTTGGCTCATACACTCTTGGTTCTTCAGGTGGCTTCTCCACTTCCTCCTGAGTTCCTGGTTCTATTCTGACATGGACTTCCTTAGGTGGTTCAGTCCATCTCCAATGATGACATACTCCATTGGTTTCTTCTTGACTGGCGGCTTTGCTTCCTCTTGATCTGGGTATGCTGGTGGCTCATACCCTTTTCCATTCCTAAGAGTGATAGCTGCTACAGCTGCTCTCCTTGGATTGATTTCCACTTTTCCTGGTAGCACCTTCTTCTCTCTTAATAGAGCTGGCTATGTTGGCAACTCTAAGATCCAAGTCTCTTGTGAAAGAGAAATAGAATCCAACTTCTCATTCAATCTCGTGAAGGCTGACTCCAATCTCTCATCAATCAAGGCTGTGTGCTCTCTATGAGAACTCTTGATGAAAGTTATCAAATCTTCAAAATTGCTCCTTGGCTCCATTCTTCTCTTGTGAGGTGGTTGCTGATAATTTCTTCCTCCATGAACATCCCTCTTCTCATTGGGTGATTCTTGAGTAAAAACATCATGCTCTCCCTTTCCAAGCTTCTTCTCTATGTGTGATCCATCTATTCCAACAAAGTTTACTTCTTCTTGAAACTTGGAATCAAATCTCCAAAGTAATCTTGAATTATTGTGGATTCAACTCTATAAGCTTCTCTTTGTCTCTCCACTTCTCTTCCTTGGTTTCTCAGTATCTCAGCCATCATGGCTTTGATTTCGCTGTATCCATCTCTGTATGGATCAGAATTTATGGCCTTCACTGCTCTCTCATGCCCAATGAAGTTGTCACTGTCGCTTGAGGCTAGATTTTCAATCAAAATCTTTGCTTCAGTAACTGTCTTGGTCATGAAATTTCCATTGCTGGCTGTATCAAGAGAAAATCGACACTTCCCACTTATTCCTCTGTAGAAAATGTTCCATAGACTGCCCTCAGATAGTCCATGGTTAGGACACTCTCTTGTATAGTCCTTGAAGCGCTCCAATGCTTCATGAAAAGGCTCCACCGGCCCTTGTTGGAAACTAGAGATCTTTTCTCTCAACAAGTTTGCTCTTTGCTTTGTGAAAAAGTGACCTAGGAATGCCACCTTGTACTCTTTCCATGTGGTTATGGATTGAGCTGGAAGAGACTTAACCCAGCGCAAAGCCTTCCCTGTCAAAGTGAAAGAGAATAGTTTGCACTTTAAGTACTCCTTGGGTGCACCTCCTGCACTGATGGTGCCCAAATTTCTTCAAAAGCATCAATATGTTCCAAAGGATTCTCCTGGGGTTTTCCTTGGAACTGGTTTTGTTTCACCAAACCAATGATCTCCGGTGAAATCTCATAGCTTCTTCCTTCAGGAAGTGGCGGCTGGATGGGATTCCGATCGATTAGTGTTGGATTGGAATCGAAGTCTCCCATGACTTCTTCATTGTGTCGCGCTCCATCATTGGCGCGATTGTGCGCGGCGTTCGGATCCGGCGGATCTTCGTGCTGCTCGGCCAGCGCGATCTCTCTCGCGGCCAAGTTATCTCTCTCCTCTTGATCGTCTGAATCACTCATGTTAGAGTCCTTCTTTCAAGCTTAGTACCTGAAAGGGTAGAGGCAAGATTCTTTAAATAGAAAACAGTAAAAAGGAAAAACAAAAGTTGAAAGTTTGCAAAAACAAAAAGGAAAAACGAAATTCTAGGCTAGACTATAGTTGGGAACTCGAAGGTAGCTGTATTGCTCCCCGGCAACGGCGCCAAAAACTTGATCGCGGGATCAGGTCTTCCCTTTTCCTATCCCTGATTCTGCAAGTGCACAGTCAAAGTAGTAAACGGGTATCGAACACAAGGAGCAGATAAGTACACTTCGAGTATTGCAAGTCTAATATAGCTAGAAAACAAGTATGATTTAGGGTTTTGATTGTGTAACAAGGTAAATCAAACAGCAGATTAAACGGTTTATGAAAATCAATAAAGGGAAACGCTAGGCAATGAGAAACTCGCAGAGATTCAAGGTTAACAAGATATTAGAAGGTTCGCTAGGGTTTGCGCTATCTAGAACTCAGGTCACGATTGTATGATCTTTCCACTGTCGAGGCTCCGACCCCTTTGTTAATCTACCTAGTCGCTAAACTTTTGGTATGTCCCTAGGTGATTAAATCAAGCAATAGTTCGTTCAAGACCCAATTGTTCACAACCCCGCATAGATCAACTTTCGCAGTCTATGAAGTTTTGCTCACCAAATACTTAGTTCAGGTTATATAGCAAGCTTTTGGAGAGTATATGAAACCTAAGATCTGATGCTAGTTGATCAGAAAAGCAAGCAGCAATGAATTCAAGCAGAGGCGAAGATGCGATAGTAAACCCTATGTGACTTCTAACAACCTATCAAACCATGAACTCTTTGATAGATCTCACAACCTAACTAGTGAATTACTCAGACATAATCAAAGCAAAAACACAAAGAGATGAAGAAAACATGATTGCAATAAAACTCAAAGTATGAAATCGTAATACAAGGGCGGCTCTCTTTCACAAGAGGCTAAAAAGCTATATATATAGTGCTAGGTCTTTTGAGGCGGCTTAGGGTTAAGCCGGGCCTTGAAAATATGAAATCGGGCTTCAAAACGGGCTTCGGGTCGACCGCGGCGTTGGGACGGTCGGTCGGGACGATCGGCCGGATCGGGTCGTGGCCGAGTCGGAACGGTCGTGGCCGGATGATTCACGGTCGGCCGGTGTGGTCGGACGGATGAGATTTGGCCGATGAAATCTCGGCCGGACGCGAGGCGTTTTTCCCGGCTCGCGCGGCGGTCGTGCGCGGCTGTGGCGTGAGCGGTTGTGGCGTGGCCGACCGCGGGCAATAGTTTCCCGGGTCGTGATGCGCGCGGCCGAGTTTTGACTTTGGCCGAGACTTCAGACGGACGGACGATATTTGGCCGAGCGTGGAACTCGTTCCTCGGCCAGCCGGACTGCGCGGTTGGGCGCTGTTCTCGATAGAGCCGTCTGGACAGTCTTCCACTCTTTTGGTTGTAACTCCTTTTCTACTCATCCAAATGAGGCCATTCCAGTTGCGTTGGAAAGTTAACTCAATCAGAGCACGCAGGGAACTGGTCTTGATGAAATCCATTGAGTAGATCTTTTTCTGGGCCCTCTTAAAGTTGGTGCTTGTGCATGGAGCGGCTTGAAGTGCAAATCCTATGGTTTTGCTCCAAAATGCATCATTTCACCTGTTTAGACTCTAGACACTATAAACACAGTAAAACTACCTTTTTAGATAGAAAACCTGCCAAAAACCATTAGAAAACAATGCTAAAACAGTATAAAAAGTAGGTAAAATAGAGGTATATCACATAGTCTTAAGACTAACCGTACCCCAATCAAACAAGAACAGGTACGATCAACCCAAGACTATAACAACAATCAAACAATCTATATGCAATGCCCATGCAAACCTATACAAGTATCTAATACTTGTTTTCTTATATGCAATGAGGCGCCTAGGTGCATTAGCCACATTCTCTGCCCACGCCTGTGAAGGTTCACGCTCATCCGGAATCACACAGAAACTAGATGAACGCCTTCACCCGGGCACTACAGTCCATCGCGGTACCCGGTTCATCCTCCCATCTATTGGCCTTACTGGCGCACCATGCCAATGTCTGGTTGGATCCCATATCGTCATATGGTACCATACTCGGCCAAGGCAGCTGACCAGGTTATCCTCCGAGTCTTCCTCCCTTCATGCACAGCCTCCTCGCTGCCAATCCGGTTGGGCTCTGACGTGCGAGAATGCGCTTGACTACACCTTCCTAGACAACATGTGGTTAGACACGCCACATGTTCTCAGTACTTAGCATATGGGCCTTTACGCACCACTATGCCTCATACCCATCGGTTCTGCGGCAGAGCTTCCCTTGCCTCGGAAGAGTACCCACACGAACCTCGAAAGATCTGGCGGCTCAGCCGTCCGTGATCTTTCCACATCGGAGTCATACTCAACATATGGGCCTTACGCACCACCATGTTAGTATGCACTCGAGGTTTAGCGGCATAGCCATGCTATAACCCCACAACCGATGCATCTATGAGATTTGGCGGCATAGCCATCTGATGTACTTGCATTTTACATAGTTTTAGTACATCTTTTATGCATCTTTTGCATAGTTTTAGCATCCATTAGCATCATATCTTGTTCCTTTTCCCTTCTTGTGCATTCATAGTAGTTTTAGGTTGCATTTGCATACATATGCATGTTTGGTCCTTGAAATAGGTCTTTTGGAGCATTTGGAGCATATGGGACGTGAGGAGCAAGGAAGGACTTGGTGCATGGACGCAGCTCAACTGGATACGCAAAGGAAGAAGGAGGAAGTCATCTTGAAGACCAGCTCGACCACCTACTCGACCATCCGGTCGAGTTCCTCAACTCGACCGGCCAAGCTTCAACTCGATCGAGCTGAGAAGTCAACAGTCAAACCCGAAAAATGTTGCTTCCCCCTTGACTTCCTTTGACCCTAAACCTAATCCTCTTTGTATTTAAAGGCTCTAAGCCACGAAAAAGACAACAAGCTTTAGCTTATTTTTGTTTTAGCTTTCTTTTAATTATTGTTTTACTTTTTGCAACTCTAAGCCATCTTTGTGTTCTTGAGCTCTTGCTCTTGAACCTTAGATCTGGATTTTTTTGTATTTGCACTTGCTTATTTCAATAAAAGTTGTTTATCTTTATCTCCTCTTTCATTTATGTCTTTTCATTGCATTTGATTGTGTTTACATTCATGTGTAGTGAGTAGTTCCTTTAGGGTTTCAAAGATGGGCTAGATTAGGGGATCTTTATGCTTAATCCTTCTTGCTTATGTTCTTAATCTAGAAATCTCTCTCTTTTGGACAAATCCTTAAGGCTACATGACCACTACCCCTGGCTTGTATGTCCATAGGCGATTCTCCACATGGAAGTGATGGAAATCGCTTGGAAAAGGTCCACTAAGAGCTCCAATAACTCTTGCTCTCGAAATGGAGTTCATAGGGGTTGGATGGATTAGTTTGAGCAATGATCCTATGGCCTCCAAGGCTTGATTCTCACTGGCTAACCCCCTGTTTCTGAGATCATGCCTTGGTTGATAGCTTTCACCTTGGGAAAGGGTTAGCTAGGCATTGAGAAGCTCAATATCAAGAGATACCTTGATACAAGTTGTTTCACCCTTATGGATTGATACCCTTATACTTCAATGACTATGATGGTTAAGGGGAATTGATTGATTGTGATTGTGTTTGCATCATACCACCTCATCTTCATATACCACTGTTGCATTCCACCTCATTTCATTTCATACCATATCATCACATCCACACACAAATCCTATCATCAATTTGGCGCCGTTGCCGATTTGGGTTGAATATTGTTGCATTTGAGTTTCAATACACTTGGACGATCAAGCTATACCACCCCTGTTCTTTGTACTGCTGGGTTTTTGTCTCTTTTTGCAGGTGTATGCGAACTCGATCGAGTCGGTCAACAGAAGACTTGGTCGAGCTAGACTTTCACACGGGTAGAAAGAGGTTCAGAGGTCAGAGGGTACAAGAGGAACCTGAGGTGCTTGTTGCTGATACAATGGATGTACCAGAGGGGAATGGAAACCCTTTGGGCAATGGACTCGGTCGAGCTAGGCAAACTCGACCGATTGGTCTAGGAGATGCTCCAAACCGCCACAACAGAGACAAGGGATTGTTCCACCACCAGTGCAGAACCACAACTTTGAGATCAAGCTGGGAATGATCAACCTTGTCAGAACAAGATGTTCCATGGATTGCCAAGTGAAGACCCCATTGACCACCTTGATGAGTTTGATAGGCTTTGTGATTTGACAAAGATCAATGGTGTCTCTGAAGATGCCATCAAGCTGAGACTCTTTCCTATGTCTCTAGCTGACAAAGCTCACCAATGGGAGAAGAGCTTGCCCCATGGCACAATCACCACTTGGGATGAATGCAAGAAGGCCTTTCTTGCTAAGTTTTTCTCCACCGGTCGCACAGCCAAGCTTAAGGAGAGATATCGAGCTTCATCAGCGAAACAATGAGACATTCGCTGAGGCTTGGGAGAGGTTCAAAGGTACACAAGTCAGTGCCCACACCATGGATTCAACAATGAATCACTACTCTACTCTTTATAGAGGATGCTTGGCAAGGTATAGGGAGATGTTAGACACAGCCAGCAATGGGAACTTCCTCAATCAGGATGTAGATGATGGCTGGCAGCTTGTGGAGAACATGGCCATATCAACTGAATGCTATGGAGAGCATTATGAAGTACAGACTGGAGCTCGACCGCGCACTCGATCGAGCTGGAAGCACAGATGAGAAAAGACATGCTTGCACTCAATTCGAAGTTGGACAAACTGATCCTAGCCCAATTCCCTGCCAAGCATGTCAATTATGTCTCTGGAAAAACTCTAGTTAAGGACAGGAAGGGGAGGAGACAACATGAGGTTTGCTATATTCAAAATAGACAAGGAGGCTATAGGAATCCTCAGCAAGGACATCAAGTCACTATGGCAACAAGGGACATACACCAGCTATCCAACCACCTTGCCACAACAACAACCTAGTGTCCACCAAGGCTTCCCCAAAGGCTAATCATACCCAACCAAGTCAAGATTGGGATATGAAGGAAATGCTCCAACAACTTTTACAAGGGCAAGCCAAAGGTTCACTGGAAATGAACCACAAGTTGGTTGAGATAAACTCCAAACTTGAGTCATTGACTTCAAGAGTCCAAATCATTGAGTCTTCTAGTGCATCATCCTCTTCACCACAAGAGTATGCCCAAGCAGTTACACTGAGAAGTGGGACAATTTCCTAGCAGGAGTAGCCCACCCCAAATCGCTGTGGACATCGATGACGAGGAAGGGGAGGATTTGGTCGAGTATGCTGACATCCTGCACCAACTCGATCGAGCTGGAACAAAACCCTGAACCAGAACTCGATCGAGCTGAAGAAACCGAGACTCAGCAAGACAAACCAGAGCTCGATCGAGCCAGAAAAGAACAGACAAAGCAAGTCCAGCCAACCAACTAAACCTGTTGCAAAGAAGAAAGACACTCCATCAGGACCACCACCATACAAACCCCCTCTACCCTTTCCAGGAAGGTTCAAGAAACAACTGTTGGAAGCACACAAGGCCAAGTTTGATGAACTAATGAGAACTTGAGCTGAAGTTGCCTTTCATCGATGCCTTGATGCTCATTCCACCTTATCAGAAATTCTGAAGGATGCTGTTCAGCAAAGAACCAGGGAAGCACAAGGAATGGTAGTGTTGACTCGTGAGTGCAGTGCAATCATTCAGCGGAAGGTCATCTCCGACAAAAAGGAAGATCCGGGGAGTTTCACTTTGCCTGCATGTTGGGACCCCTATCTTTCAAAAACAGCCTCTGCGATCTAGGATCATCTGTCAGCCTCATGCCTTTGTCTGTAGCAAAGAGACTGGGATATCACAAGTATCAAGCCTGCGGAATCTCACTAGTCTTGGCAGATAGATCGATAAGGTTACCAACTGGAATGCTTGAAGACCTGCCTTTGAGAATAGGGAATGTAGAATCCCCACCGACTTCATTGTGCTTGAGATGGATGAGGAACCAACAGATCCATTGATACTAGGAAGGCCATTCCTAGCTACAGCAAGAGCAATGATAGATGTCTGTGAAGGCACAATTGAGCTAAACTTGGGAAAGGACCTAAGATGAAGTTTGACATCAAGGATACAATGAGGAAGCCAACAATAGAAGGTCAACTCTTTTATGTTGAGAAATGGATCAGTTGGCAGATGAGCTTTTAGAAGACTATCATTGGAAGATCCCCTACAAGTTGCTTTGACCAAGGATTCTTCAGAGGGATATGTGAGCTCAGAAACCGAGGAATATTCGAAGCTCCTTGACACCTTCAGACCAGTTCCAAGCATTCTGAGCATTGAGGATTTACAGGCCAATTGCGAAGTCATGGCAGTGAGCTCGATCAAGAGCTCGATCGAGTCAAGCCTCGAACAAACGAACTCGATCGAGCTGGGACTGAATGCAAGGAACAAGCTCAAGGAGATTGGTCTGAACTTAAGGCACCTAAGGTCGACCTCAAACCTTTGCCTAAGGGCCTCAGGTATGCATTTCTGGGTGAAAACTCAACTTACCCTGTCATTGTGAACTCTGATTTGGAACCTGAACAGTTGAGTGCTTTGCTTGTTGAATTGAGGAAGTACAGAAAAGCAATAGGCTATACTCTAGATGATATCAAGGGAATCTCCCCTGACCTATGCATCCATAGGATTCATCTAGAGGATGAAAGTAAGCCTAGCATTGAACCTCAAAGGAGATTGAACCCCAATCTAAAGGAAGTAGTGAAGAAAGAGATACTCAAGTTGCTTGATGCTGGGATAATCTATCCCATCAGTGATAGCACTTGGATATCTCCAGTTCATTGCGTCCCAAAGAAAGGGGGGATCACTGTCATAAAGAATGACAAAGAGGAGCTGATCCCTACTAGAACAATAGTGGGGCATCGCATGTGTATAGACTATATGAAGTTAAATTCTGCATCTAGAAAGGATCATTTCCCTCTTCCTTTCATTGATCAGATGCTAGAAAGATTAGCAAACTATCCTTTCTATTGTTTTTTTTATGGTTAATGCAACTTTTGGTCTTCTTTTGTGCCTATTGTAACTTACAAAATAGAGTAGAGTCTATACGAGGTAGTGCTGAATAAATAAAGAGAGTGAAGGGTATAGAAACATATGGTATTATACAAAACGATATATTTGAAAATCAGCCGCTAACCGAGAAATGAGAATTAAAATGCGGATGTTATTTGGGTTAAAATATTAATCCCAAATGTAGAATTATTTTATAGCATTATTTTTAAAATATAACAATAAGAATGCATATGCGCCGGAATTAGTCTAGTAATATATGCATGTCCTAAGAGGATGAACACCCTTACGACATTTCTTGCAACCATGATACCATTTGGGACTGGTTTGGATAGAGGCAACTCAAGTAGCTGTTACATACTTTTCTATTTATTATAATTAATCAAAATAGATAAGTCATAAAACATAACTCAAAATTATTATAGAATATTAACATACCTCACATCTCTCTAAAATCTCTTGTATAGTTTTCCTAGGATTTTTGTTGAAAAACTCTTCTTCCCACTTCGTTTTGGAACTTTTTGAAGACAACAAATCATTATTTGTAATTAACGTATTGTCATTTTACGATCTTTTAAAACAAATAAGAAGCTAGTTTGAGTCATAACTAAATCTAATTGGTAAATAAAATAATATTATATACCGGGATTTAATGTATTCAATTTGAGAAGTTTGTGGATCGAACAGCAGCAGAGTTGCGTTTTAGGACTTCAATATACTGAAAACTTTTACACATTCGAAACAATTATATTGTATCAATCCTGCCAGTTTTTGTACTCTCCTCTATCTTTCAATTTTTCAAACTTCTTCGTTGTTTTGGTCTTCTATATTTTTTTTCTTCATCTTCTTCCTCCTCCTTCCTTACCCACTCTATCTTCTCCTACTTCTAAATCTTTTGGTTGTATTTGTCTAATATTTGTCGTTTTCCTTATCTTTTCTTTTTTCGTCGACTTCTTTTTTTCACTATTTCTTCCTTCTTTCTGGTTTTTCGTTTTTTTTTCCAACATAGTCATCTTCTTTTCTTCTTATTTTTCTTGTTCATCTTCTTCATATTTTTTTTTTCTTTCTAATTCTGTTTTTATTAAATTCTTTGATGTCATTTTTTTCCTGGCCTTTTGTAACTTCTTTATCAGCTTCTTAGCTTTTGATTTATTTTGTTTTTATCCACATCTTTTCATTTTTCTTCTTTTTCATTAATTTTACATCCTCTGACTTCTTTTAGTTTTTTTTCCTAGTAGTCCTTATTTTTGCTTCCCTTTTTTCGGTATTTCCTTCGTCTCATTTATAAAACCCATATAGCATACAAACAACATCTTAATGATAAACTGATAAATCTGCTAAGTGATAACTGAAGAACAGAAACTTAGATGAACATGCAATGAGACTTCAAACAATTAAAAGAAAAAGGAAAATAAAGCAAATGAAGACCAAAAAAAAACTGAAAGAGAAAATGTTAAGTTTAGGTTTATGGTATGCATCAAGGCATTGATGAATAACATCTCCAATTCTGACCCGTAAGTTTTCATCCTATTTTTGGTTCATCACATGTATCATTCGCTAAATCAATACACACAAAATCATTACTCCTCTCTCCCTACAACACGATACCAAAGAATAAAGAAGACAAAGATATCATACACAACCGAAGAAACATTCTCACGCCAGTATTATACAACTGAGAGACCCAACAGTTATCCATACTAAGAATTCAGGAAAGGCTTGAGTCATGTAAACCTAATAAACATTATCTAAGATTAAGAACAGAGTCACCGTAAAACTATTAGCACAACAATCCAAATTATTAATAGGAAGATTAAGATATACCAGAATATAGTACCTTTATGTATAATTGTATATGTTGGTTTTCTTACCACTTGGTACGCGTCCACCATCTCTCAAACTGAAGAAACAAAAGGTTACAGAATTGAGAAATTAAAGATTACAAAAAAAAGGTGAACAGAATCATATCAAGAAGAGGCTTTGATTATTATATCACTGTCGTGTCTAGTTGACGATGATTGTTATAATTGCTTTTCAATGAATCATTATGACCTTTCAATGGTTGAACTAAAAACAAAAGAAATTAAAGAAGACTAGATGTTATCCCGCGCGTACGCGCGGGTAGTTGTTATATGTATATGTTAATAGTAATACTATTTCTTTGATAGATATGTGAATTTGAATTTGATATTCTAAATACAATGTTCAACTTATAATACATTTTATGTGATTTTAGAAATTAAAAAATCTAGTTAAAAAAAAAACAGAGTATGAGAGTTAAAAAGGAAAACATTTTATTATTTTCCTACTTTTTTACTAAGACACCCAAACTCTAGAGATGACATGCTTATTTCTCTAAACTTTGATGATTATTTCTCTAAAATTTGGTTGTTGGTTCAATAAGTGACCAGTTTCCAACTCATCAACAAACTTTTATATGGAGTCGTATACTTGAATTAGTAATTTGATAAATAATAATTTGATCCTTTAATTAAAGAGTGAACTTTATAGTTAAAAAGTAATCCATATATAAAATATTGTTGGCTACATATATAAAGTTATCCCTTGGCACTTCAAAAAGTCAATAGGCGGCCTTAAGGGATTATGCAACACGTTTAGTGGTCTAATCACTTAAATTTATCCTAAAAGATTTGTCACAGCAGCAGGAAAGCGACGACAGCCAGCAATCGCACGTCATCTTCTTGCGTTTCTCTGATAAGTCTCTAATGAGGTTCGTTGTATATATATATATATATATCTGCAAGATGACAAACAGTAAAGATTTAAACGGTTTTGAACTTTCAAATTTGATTTTGGGTGTTTTTTTTCCTGAAAATGGTGATGACTTACATTGAGGAAGATGTTGTTTCCGTTGGCGTATTGATCAATTCCACCGAAATTCTGAGGAAATTGAACATAACAAAGCTTTTTCCCAAGCTGTGGATGGATCCACCAGAAAGCACATTGATTCTCTAATGCATCACAATCCAAATTCAGCATAAATGGAGCATGTCTAAACACTGCAGATTCTCGAACCTGGCACAGTCCAACAAACCATTGTGTTTTTATTAGAAACAGTTACTTCTTCTGATGGACTTACTTGTTTGTTTGCTTACCATTGCTTCATGGCTCGAGCTTTCTTGTGGGGTGCATAACTGTGGCAGTTCGCTACTGTCTCGTCACCGTCAATGTCGAGAGCTCATTCTTTTCCTAAATACACCTCCTGATAAAAGCATTGAATTACAAAGTAGTTTTTTAGATCCAAAAGGTGTGATCTTTGATGGTATATTAGGGGTTTTGAGGTTTTGTATGTGACCTGAATCATCACGTGATGATCAAGAGTGTTGTTTCCAGGTCATTGTCCATCACCCAACCTTCTTCAGGTTTCTTCTAAGCTTTAGCCACCAAAGAATTGATCCTCACTTTGTATTCTTCTTATGCTCTCTGCAAAACAATTGAGAAAAGAAAGTTAAAGAGTGATTTGAAAGTAAAGATCTTTAGCATATGATTAATGAGTGCCAAACCGACATATAGGGATTAAAACATTGTAGAAAATTTGGCTTTTGCTTACATACCTGGTCAGAACAAAGGATTTGCAGGGATGCTCTGTCTTTCTTCAAAGCCATTTCACTTGCTGCCCTTGAATCATCTCTATACTTGAGGAAATAGTTGTTCTGCAATACGGGGAAAAATAGTAAAAAATGAAGGACCAGTCTAAACATAAACAGATGCAAATATTTTTAAGCTTATGTGCGTTTCCAGATGATCTTTGGGTACCTTTTGTCGTTGTTGTTTCTTCAAATCTTGTAGCTCTGAACAGTTCTTACAGTTCACTCCTCATCACACTTTACTTTAACAGCTTTTGTGATTGCTTCGCACTAAGTTTGTGATTTGACATCATCCAAAAAATCTTCCTAAAGTCAATGTCAATGTCTTCTCTCTTTTTTCGTTTCCGTTACCTAAACACAAAGAAGGAGAACAGTTAATCACACTGAGTCAGCTCAATACATGTAGGATAACAACATGATAGGAAATCCATTTACTAAATATGTGGATTATATATGTCGAACTCAATTCTCTTGAAACACATTCAATTTCCCTCTCCATTATCTATTGTGGACACATAGATTTACTATTAACCTTCCATTGTTGGTGAACAATCAGTGAAAGCCTCAGAATTTGGTACTGCTAATAGACCCTTTTTCTACCAAAGAGATACGTTCACTTACCCATATCAAGTCATAAACCTTGAGCTTCGCTATTCTTGGATCCGATTGAATCGCCTCTCAACGTTAGCTCTTCATTGTCGAGCTACATGGCAGGTCTGTCTGGCGTTTTTGGCATGACATATACTTTTCCCTAGGCAAAGTAGTCATAAACATAAATGGTATACCTACAACAAATGCACAGCAGAGATCTTGGAAAGTTATATTAAAATATGCTTTGTTCAAACTTCAAAGAATAACAAAACTTCAAGCAAAGTGTTAGAGTGAATGAAGGATATAAGGAGTTGGTACATGAATCCAAGAGAGATATTAACTTATGCAAGCCCAAAATTAGTAACATCATATTTTAGAGAAGCCGTTTGATCTGAGATCGTAAGGCAACATGTTCTCTAGCTAACTCGAAGGATAACTACTTAAACCAAAACGAAATGAATACATTATCAATTATAACCTGAGCCTTGTCGGACAAAATGACCAATGACCAAACAAATCTATTCTCTTTATCTATAACACATGTTTTTTGCGATTATGAAAGTATGTATAGTGCGTAGAACTAAACCATTTTCTAAGAAATGAACGAAACTCAAGTATATTATCATTAGCTAATCCAATTTTTTTTAGAACATGTATTATCATCGTTTGCATTGTCCAAGAGACTGATTACGGTAGATAATTTTGAATGCATCAATACATTCTCTTATCTCAGCTATAAGAAAGTCACATCGCAAACACACGAATCTGGAAACAAATTTCAGAAAACGCGTAGAGATTACTCATAATTAGATTTTAACTTTATCCTAGATCTCACGGTTGGGTGAGCTAAGAGATTGCATCAAATCCTTGAAAGAGGAAGAAGAATAATTACCATGTCTCCATTCATGATTAGGTCGATGAGTTCATTTTAAAAAGCTGGAGTTGTAGCAGAAGAAGCAGGAACTGAGTAGTACAGATCGACAAATATCTGCGAGACAATCAAACAAATACATGAAGCACAACTCTAGGAGAAACGTATAAAATCTCAAACCGGCAATGAGAGTCAGAAACCCTACAAATTGAGAATGAGATGAACCCAAGCATGGAAGGACGAACTCCCTCAGCCGGATCTGAGTCGCGGCCGTATAGGTATGAAACGGAGATCATCTCCACCGGCGAAGAGAAGAAACTGATCTCCGGCAGAGGCGGCATCATCGTCGGTACCCTTGAAGATGGGGTTTGCAACAATAGCTGCTGCGGCGGTGCAAAGATCGGGATCGAAATGGGGTCGATTTCATTAGAGAAGCAATTATAAGTCGGAGGTTTTGAGAGCTGGATGAAAGGTGGATCGAAGGATTGCGGTATTTATAAGCTGTAAGGGAGCGAGGTGGAAGCGAGGCACCCATTAATTGAGTGGGCATTGCTGAAGAGTAACCGAAAGGAAGACGAAGAACAATCAATCAGTGTTCTGTAACGAACAGACGAAAGAAGATGAGATGCGGAATCGATTCGTGTTCTTTAGCGTAGACAAAGAGGAGATGAGGATATTTAATTGGTAATTGGGCTTATGAATTTGTAAACAGAGATGAAATAAAAAAAAGATATGTGGGCTCTAATTGGGCTTATGAGACGGCTGAGGGAATTTGTAAACAGAAGAAAAAAAAAATGTCACGTGGCATGGCGAGAAAGCTTTCTGAAAAGCTGAAATGGGTGCCTTGAGAGGCCCCAAATAGCTGCTTTCGTTAGTATAGATAATAGATGAATCGATCAAAACTGTTCGGAAGCCAAAAAAATTGGATTTAGGGGCTATATATACGACAAAAAAGAAACACATGGTCGTGGTTGAATTCTGGAGTCTTTCAACTCAACACCTGGATTACTGGAAAAATGATATAAGGCACAAAGATGCATCGACCAAAAGTATCTCAAAGAGCAAAGACAAACAAAAGATAGTACCTAGAAGAGAGAATTATCAAGAGAAAAAAAAAGGAAATCAAATAACAAATTGAAATTTAAGGGCGAGAACAGAGAGAAACTATTAAGCGAACCTTTTTTATAAGTGATAAGGAAAGGGGCCGCGATCAAAATGACGGATGTCAAAGACGGAGACTTTCGGGAAATGTATAGAGGGTTGTTCGATGAACTATAAAGAAACAAAATTAAAAGGTAGCAAAATTAAAATTAAAACCAAACGATAATAAGCATGCCAAACAAAGAGATGAGGTTTTCTCACAATTGTTTCTTCTGATCTCTAATAATCCTCCGTTTCAAAACTTCAATGACCTAGAAAAAATGCTATTAGATTTACAGTCATAAAACTAACATATCAAACTCAAAGAAAATACACAAATCACAACAAATAAATCAAAACTACTCAAACATAAATTTAGATGGATTCTTAAGAAAGTAAATCTTTGTCTTGTCAAGTGAAGAAGATATCACCGTAAACTCAGTCGTAGCTGTCTGTTGATATACTTAGTATTGAAACCACTAGTACTATGTATCCCATTAATCCTACCGCTAGCATATCTTCCAGATCTTTGAGTATCCTATCAAACCAAAATTGTATTCAAGCAAGTTTCCAAGTGTTGAACCGTGCTTCAAAGCATCAAAATCAAGAAATTTATACCTTAAAATTTGATTCATCTCGCTTTGAGTTACGGCGATAGGGTTTAAAACCAAAAACAACTATAAAACCCAATACTTACATGCAGAGCCGTCCCTGGGCTGGCATGGGCCGCAAGCTAAATTCGTTAATGGGCCGATAAATTAAAGGAAATGTTCTTAAACCAAAATCGGATGCAAAGGAGATTCGAACCAAGCTCTTTCACACTTACGTATCGACACATAACCAACTCAGCTACATGATAATTTTGGAAAAAAGGCGGCCGATATTTTACTTATTCTCAACCGGGCCGCAAGCCCTGCTTCCTCAGCTTGCTCCCAGAGTCGGCTCTGCTTACATATAATGTAATGTCTGTCTCACTAACTTAGTTGAGAAGGCAAGTTACAAAATTAAATAATAATATTTAAATAATAAAAATACTTTTTAAAAAACCAGTCTTTATAAATTAAACCAATTCTCAAATAATCCAACATAAACCATCTTAACCAGAAATCTTTATTTACTTAAATAAATAGGAAATAAAACCGAACTTGTCTTAAAAAAAAATCTGAAAAATAAAGCATAAATAATCATTCCCGAAAACCGGCACTCAGACGATCTTCGCCTCGAACCTCACTCTTCGCCAACTCTCTCACCTGAAAAGGGAAAGGGGGTGAGCAACAAGTTACTCAGTGAGGTAGGTCATGTCTGTCCACATGATTCCCAATACCTCTACTTAACAATACACGCAAATACTAACTTTAGAACAAGCGGCAATCAACACAAAATTTCAATCAAGTCATCACACTTCATATCACAACACACATCACAACTTAACACACTTTCACATGACAACTAGGCTGGTCGGGCACCTCGAAAGGTCTTCCACCACCTTCTGGCTCGTCAGCCGTTAACGGGTTTCGACGGGATCGCCATGTCCTCATCCTCAATCCAACTGCATCAAAACAAACGGCTTCGACGGGATCGCCATGTCCTCGCCTTCAAACCAAATGCGCTCAACAAACAAATACTTACTACCAACTTAACTTTTCATCATCAATCAATATCACAAACACTTATATCAAACATTCACATCAACACAATCAACAAACAATCTTCTAAACCTAGCAATTACGAATACTAATTAATTAGACAACATTAAGAATCCACGGATCCCACCCTCACCTTAGCGTTCACGTCGAAAAACTGAGTCCGAAAAGTAGCAGTTGCGTTTTTGAGTCGCCGGAAAATAGCGGTCAAAGCGGTTGAAAAATAGCTGTTGAAGTGGTCGCGGCTGAAACGCTATTTCAGGCGATCTGCGTTTGCGTTCTGAGAAATTGCGTTTGGCGATTCGCGATCCAAAACTGCGTTTGCGTTTCGAAAACGGATTAGGGTTTTCTGCAATTTTTCAGAAACACAGAAATTCTGATCCAGAAAGAACCGCCGATAACTTGATAACTTACCGGTTACAGGTCCGATCGGCGAGATCTCAACTGATCTGAAAAGCTGAGAGTCTCCTCTTTTTAGCGCCACCAAGGTTGGCTTCCGTGTCCTTCTGGATCGTCCTAAATCCAACCCGCAAAACAGCACAAATAAACTCTTCAGATTAGAATTCTGAATTTTACAAATCCGAAACCTTGAAAGAAATGATCATAACTCTCTTGATATACCTCTGATTATCACGATTCTAGAAACGGCCAGAACCGAAGACCCGGCGCTTTCAATCGCCGGCGCGGTCCACTCTCAGAAACTCGCAGTCCGCGCGATTTCTCATCTACAATCGCTGCCCCGCGGTGACATCAAGCTTCTCTGTGACACAGTTGTCGAAAGCGTCAGAGATCTCACTGGGTACGACCGAGTTATGGTGTACAAGTTTCACGAAGACGAACACGGCGAGGTCATAGCGGAGAGCAAACGGGACGATTTAGAGCCTTACATCGGCCTGCACTACCCGGCTACTGATATTCCTCAAGCGTCTCGGTTCTTGTTCAAACAGAGCCGCGTTAGGATGATCGTAGATTGCCACGCGTCTCCGGTTCGTGTGGTCCAAGAAGATAGGCTCACGCAGTCTATATGCTTGGTTGGTTCGACTCTACGAGCTCCTCACGGCTGTCACGCTCAATACATGGCTAACATGGGTTCTATTGCATCTTTAGGCATGGCGGTTATAATAAACGGAAACGAAGAAGACGGCAACGGTGTTAATAACGGTGGGGGAAGAAACTCGATGAGGCTTTGGGGTTTAGTCGTTTGCCATCACACGTCGGCTCGTTGCATACCTTTTCCTCTGAGGTACGCTTGCGAGTTTCTAATGCAGGCCTTTGGCTTACAGCTGAACATGGAGCTGCAGTTAGCTTTGCAGGTGGCTGAGAAACGCGTTCTGAGAATGCAGACACTGTTGTGTGATATGCTTCTGCGTGACTCACCTGCGGGGATCGTCACGCAGAGTCCTAGCATCATGGATTTAGTGAAATGTAACGGTGAGGCGTTTCTTTACCAAGGGAAGTATTATTCGTTGGGTGTTGCTCCGAGTGAGGCTCAGATAAATGACATTCTGATTCGACTGGTTTAAGCACAGATAGTTTAGGCGACGCGGGTTATCCTCGGGCGTCTGTTTTGGGAGATGATGTTTGTGGTATGGCGGTTGCGTATATCACTAAAAGAGACTTCCTTTTCTGGTTCCGGTCTCATACCGAGAAAGAAATCAAATGGGGAGGAGTCAAGCACCATCCCGAGGATAAAGATGATGGCCAACGGATGCATCCTCGTTCTTCGTTCAAGGCGTTTCTCGAAGTTGTAAAGAGCCGGAGTCAGCCGTGGGAAGCTGCTGAAATGGATGTGATTCACTCGCTGCAGCTTATTCTAAGAGACTCATTCAAAGAGTCTGAAGCGAGAGACTCTATTGTTGCAGCTGAGAGAGAGAACATGACAGAGCAAGGGATGGAGGAGATAGGTGCAGTTGCGAGAGAGATGGTTAGGCTCATTGAGACTGCGAAGGTCCCTATATTTGCTGTGGACATGGACGGCTGCATCAATGGGTGGAACGCCAAGATTGCGGAGATGACTGGTCTTTCCGTGGAAGAAGCTATGGGGAAGTCTGTGGTTCGTGATTTGATATACAGAGAATGTGAAGAAGCCGTTGACATGCTTCTCTCTCGTGCACTCAAAGGTATATATGCGATTCATTAACTTTTAATATGTACAGGACTCTAACATGCGGATTCTGATAATGTATTGCATTTTGCGATTATGCAGGAGATGAAGGAAAGAATGTGGAGGTCAAGCTGAAAACTTTTGGTCCCGAGCTGCAAGGGAAAGCAGTGTTTGTGGTAGTCAATGCTTGCTCAAGCAAGGACCACTTAAGCAACATCGTTGGGGTCTGCTTTGTAGGACAAGACGTAACCAGTCAGAAAATTGTCATGGACAAGTTTATCAACATACAGGGAGACTACAAGGCCATCATCCATAGCCCAAACCCGCTGATTCCTCCAATCTTTGCAGCGGATGAGAACACGTGCTGCACTGAGTGGAACACTGCGATGGAAAAACTCACAGGCTGGTCTCGCGGCCAAGTGATTGGGAAACTGCTTGTTAAGGAAGTGTTTGGGAGCTGTTGCAGGCTAAGAGGTCCTGATGAGTTGACTAAGTTCATGATCGTCTTGCATAACGCGATCAGTGGCCAAGAAACGGATAAGTTCCCGTTCTCCTTCTTTGACCGCGGAGGGAAATTCGTTCAGAGTCTCCTGACTTTGAACAAACGGGGTTGGTCCGGTCAGGTCAATGGGGCTTTCTGTTTCTTGCAGATACCGAGTCCCAAGCTGCAACAAGCTCTAGAGATCCAGCGGAGGCAGGAGAGTGAGTGCTTTGCAAAGGGGAAAGAGTTGGCTTACATTTTCCAAGTGATTAAGAATTCATTGAGCGGTCTGCGTTACGCAAGTTCGTTACTGAAAGCCACAGGTTTAAACAAGGATCAGAAGCAGATTCTTGAAACGAGTGTTTCATGCGAGAAGCAGATCTCAAAGATTGTAGGAAACATGGACGCCAAAAGCATTGAAGACGGGTGAGAGTTTAGACTTTTCTCTACACATACACACACACACACACACGCTTATACTTATCTATAAAGCTTCATGCACGTTACTGAACAAACATTCTCTGTTTTTGCTCATCAGTTCAATTCGAGTTAGAGAGAGCAGAGTTCTTCATTGGCAGCGTCATAAACGCAGTGGTAAGCCAAGCCATGTTGTTGGTAAGCTTTTTTTTGCGGTGGGTAGGGTGGAGGGGTGTGCGTTATGGTATTGACTGGTCGAGGAAGCTGTGTATACTTATCTATAAAGCTTCATGCACGTTACTGAACAAACATTCTCTGTTTTTGCTCATCAGTTCAATTCGAGTTAGAGAGAGCAGAGTTCTTCATTGGCAGCGTCATAAACGCAGTGGTAAGCCAAGCCATGTTGTTGGTAAGAGAGAAAAATCTTCAGCTGATACGTAACATTCCCATGGAGATCAAATCCATGGCTGTCTATGGTGACCAGATTAGGATCCAACAAATCCTAGCCGAATTTCTTGCAAGTATCGTACGTTATGCCCCCACACAAGGCTCTGTGGAACTCTCTCTACACCCGGTTTTGAAACAAATGGCTGATGGATTCTCTTCCATACGCATGGAGTTCAGGTAAAATTTCATCACTCTGGTTCTGTCTCTCCAGTAATATCACTATCTGTCTGGTCTTTTGATGCTTTTACGGATTGATTTAGCAAAGCAAGGATCACTCGGATTCATTGTTATCAATGTTTTGTTGTGCTGTTTGCAACAGGATGGCGTGTGGAGGGGAAGGTGTGCCACCGGAGAAAGTGCAAGACATGTTCCATAGTAGCCGATGGACGAGTCCAGAAGGATTAGGGCTAAGTGTTTGCAGGAAGATTCTGAAGCTAACGAACGGAGAGGTTCAGTACATAAGGGAATTCGAACGCTCTTTTTTCCTAATCGTTATCGAACTCCCGGTTGCTCCGATGGTGACGACAATGATGCCATTTTAGTGTGTGGCCGTGAAAGAATGAGAAAAAGTAGGAGTATGTTTATAGGTAGAGCTTGTTGGTTAGATACGTACACTACTACTACACTGTACATTGTTATAGTCTCATAGAAAGCAAAGAGAGAGATCTTTAGACACGGATGTTGTGATGTTTTTCTGTGCTTTTAAAGCTTCGTAGTTTGCAACTCAAAGAGTATAAATTGTGAAGGAACTCAATAGTACTTAATTGTGTACTATCTAAGAGAGAGAGAGAGAGAGAGTTATGATTTCTCTTATATACGGGACAAAATTTTAGAGACCAAGTTCTGTTTTTCTTGTTTTAACAAGCTTGGAGACAAAGTTGCTAACAAACTTGGAGACAAAGCTACTTAACAAGCTTGGAGACAAAGCAATCTAAGGGGAGATAAATGGTAAAAAGGGATATCATGTTTATCCTGGAGTCCTAAAGAAATTAAAAAACAGATCACATTAAAACTAAATACAACTGTTTTTAACATATTTATTTAAAACTACATGAGAGCTGTAGAGAGCAAAAAAAAATTAAGCTGTTATTATTTTGGAATGTTATCTACTCTTCTAGAGCCCTATGATCTACAAATTTCGCTTTTATCTACTGCTTATTTAAGGAACAAATGCTGGTTTATAAAAGACCATTTCTTAGTATGTTTCCTTTTTCTTAAAAACTTAGAGTTAATGTTTTGTAATGCAAAAAATATATCTTCTCCGCAAATTCATTGAATCTTTTATTTTTTGAAGAACGTTAGGTCGAAAAAAAAAAGGACAATAATTTTTTCCTAAAACAATTTTCACCCAAAAAAACAAAAAAGTAATTCAACACATAATCATATCTAAACTGTAGATATCGATATATACTGTTACGAGAGAAGTGTTAAATCAAACCTGTATTTAATACTTTCCGGAACGAACCAATCCGAATATGCAATCATGATTCCTTCGCCGGATACGTAAAAACCGCAAATCACGGAACACGCCGTCTCTGAAAAGTTGAAGATATTCTATGAATAAAGAAAGGAAAGTAGTAAATCCATCGAATATCCACTTCAATCAGTAAATAAATGAAACGATGCAAAGAAGACGGAACAATATATAAGGACGATCGTCAAACCACTTAACATCACAACTCACCAACAACCAAAACTCAAAACAGAAAACAACTTCCATGGCAAACATTGTGAAACTCTCCAAGGTTACACCTAATCGATCCGATTGGAGTTGTTAGAGTGAGAGTTGAAAAGATGTGGTGGACACTAACTTTGGAGTCTGGTGAAGGGCTAAGCTTCCTTTTTGTCGATGATGAGGTTTGTGCATGAATATTTTTAAACTGTTTAACAATCATAAATTTTATATTCGAAGATATCCTAATGTTTCAATTATTTGTTTTTGTCCGAGTCAGGGCACAAGGATGCATGCTTTCGTGGATAACTTTTATCATGGGAAGAAATTTAAGGGTCTCCTTCAGGAAGGACAGTGGAAGATGATAACTGGTTTCAAAGTTCTTATTGTTGAGAAAGAGATACGTATGACTAAAGAGAGGAAAGAGATTGCTCTCACCATAGAAACCCAAGTTGATGATGCAGAACCATTCCATGGTTTTATTCCACTAGATTTGATTCCATTTCAGGATGTCCAGAACGGAATGGTTCACGGTGGAACTTCTTACACCAGAGGTTAGTATTTTAATTGGAATTGATTTTGAAGGGCCAAACTTGCCATATAAATAATGCAAACAAATCTCACTCATCTTTTTATTTTTGATATTGTTTTTTCGTAGATTTCCTAGGTGTGATTGATAGTGTGCAAGATCTAGGCGTCATAGAGGATGACTCTATTCCTAGAAACAGGCATAACAACGATCCTAAGACTACCACCATGATTAACTTTGTTCTCCAAGACAACGAGTAAGAATATGCGAAAGATTTACTTAATGTTTTTGAACATGTGTACTCCTTATATGTTTAGATGCTTCGGATTAACCAATAATCATTCTTTTACAGTGGCTATCATCTTAGGTGTCGTGTGAAGGGACCTTTGGCCAATTGGTTCAAACGCTATTGGCTTATTTATGGTGAATCTGGAACAATCATCTGCCTATTAACCAATTGGCGTGTTGTTGGAAGAGACGGTTAGAAAACCTGCTTACATATAATATACAGCTTTCTAATTTCCCACAAACTTCCATATTAATAAATTTAATTTTGAGATTAACCCCCCCATATCAGGTGCTATACAAGTTGAAGATGCAGGAGATGTTTCTACATTTGAATATGATCCAGATGGAAGAGATAAGGTTGAACACTTCACAAACGTATTGTAAGTATTAAATTCTATACTTGATAATGCTGGTTACAAAGTGTGTTTCACATTTCAAGTCAGGATTTGGTGATTGAAACGAGTATATGAATTGTGTTTTTTGGCAGGTTGGAGTATGATGAAATGAGCGATCAATGAATGAACATGACTAAGGAGTTGGTGGTCTTTTAATTTGCAAGTTAGCTATGTATTTTCCGTATTGATGGTGTGATTTTAGTATGGTACTTTTGATGTCCACTATTTTATCAAATTATCTATGTGTTTTTAAGACAAATCTAAAGTTCCACACAATTTGATCTACTTGTGAAAAAAAACAGAACATCCTAGAACAACCAACTCAATCAAACATCCTGCATATTTATAGACGTCTGCACATAGTAAACTATAAAATAAAAAATATCCTAAAACCGCAAGAGATTTCATGATGATGCGATGTTTACCTCAAATGCGTTGGATCCATTCCGGAAGCAATTTAGCCGTCCAACGGATAGACTTCGATCATCACTCACCGGAGAAAACATAACATAAACAAACAGTGGGATTAGGAATTTTGATTTTACATAAATCGATCAACTACACCAAGATTATGAATATGTGCATACAATTTTACCAATCAAGATCCGTTAGAATAAGAATTACACACCTCCACGAGCTGCCGGAAAGGGAATTTTATTCCCCATTACCCCCTTTCGGAGTCGACGGATTTCCGTTCATAATCTCATACTGATGCCGACGATGATAAGAGCGACAACTGGAATCAGACATAATCAGACATAACAATTAGGGTTTCGTTTACTAAAAATTCCCCCAATTCAATTTCGAAACACATTCAATTGAAGTTCGGGCGAATTCGGGTTTCGAAACACAAAACGAATTCGTTTCGATTAATCATTTGACACCGTTTCATAGGCTTTGTTGTCGAAGGCCCATTACAATCAAACAAACTGACCCATTGTAACGAAAGAATTTCGTAGCCAAAAAGATATAACCATATATTCAGCCTCATAATTACTAAGTTAATTACTTTAATAAACTCAACAAAAATTGCAATAACCCGTGCTTCCCAAACACAGGTCATGATCTAATATTTATTTATTTTAAGTTAGAACTGTATATTTCTTTTTTTCTTTGTAGTAACAGAATCTTCTCAAAATCTACTTTTACCTCTTTGAAGATTTAAATTAAATAAACAAAATTTAAAAGTCATCTTGTATTATTTAAAAATCATGAATATTATTAAGTTTATAACCTTTAAACTGACTATTACTCTATTAGTGAAAAAACGAAATTAAAAAACAAAATCTAGAAAGGAATTATAAAATAATTTTACTCTTAACATTATTAATTTAAGATAAGATTATTGCAAGACAATATATGAATATTTTGCTAAAAGTGTATTATAGAACAATTTTAGTAGAAAATACGACAGAAGAGAAATAAACCTTCCTTATAAAAACCCTTCTGCTTGCGACACGCCATTGTCTGTCTCAGACTCTCAGTCTCTGCCTCTCTCAATTTTCCGACAAAAATTTGTCTGATTTTACTCAGCTTAGAATCTTCGTTGCAACCGGTTTCGTAACCTCGAATCTCTCAAACTTCAATCAAGCCCATCCATCAGGTTTGCCTCGATCTCAACAACAATCGAAATTACTGTGTTATATATGAAATCGTTAAGTAAAAACCCTAGCTGGCTCTTGAATTTCGATTGATAATTGGTGGTTATATCAGGGTTAACTAATTCTGCGAAAATGTCGAGGAACAAAGGTTTAGCTGAGCAAGATCTCAGTAAACTGGATGTAACTTTGCTAAATCCTCTGTCTCCTGAGGTCATCTCTCGCCAAGCGACCATAAACATAGGTTATATTCTTCTCCTTCTTCTTCTGCTTCTCCGAGTCTCTATAGTTGATCAAGTCAAAGAGAAACTAACTTATGATCTTCTCAGGAACCATCGGGCATGTCGCGCACGGAAAGTCGACTGTTGTGAAAGCTATAACGACTGTGCAGACTGTACGTTTTAAGAACGAGTTGGAGCGTAACATCACCATTAAACTTGGATATGCTAATGCCAAGATTTACAAATGTGAGGATGACAAGTGCCCTAGACCCTTGTGCTACAAGTCAGTTCCTTTTACTTTCATGCAATTTTTTTTTTTTTTTTTTTTATATATGTAGACGTTTTGATGTATGCAGTAACATGAATCATCTCTTAATTCTTGTTAGGTCCTACGGGAGTGGAAAAGAAGACAACCCAAATTGTGATGTCCCTGGATTTGAGAAGAGCAAGATGAAACTTCTGAGACACGTCTCCTTTGTGGATAATCACTACTTTTTAAATAACGAATTAAGGCGTCAGCTAAATAATGTGTATTTTGTGTTGTATCTTTTATTAGGGATAAATATCCCACATCGGAAGTTGGAAGGTATCTTAAGCAGTATATAAGGGATGTGGGTCTCTCCACTCATTGCCAATTGGTTTTGAGTTGGAAGCCCATGTAACTTAACATGGTATCAGAGCCCCAATCCATACATTCCAACCCGATCCGACCCATAGTTGGTCCAATCATCGACCATGCCCAAAATTGGTGCTGGTGATCCAAGCCCGAACATACCGAGATTGATGGCCAAAGAGTCATTGTCTCGAGGGGGCATATTAGGGATAAATGTCCCACATCGGAAGTTGGAAGGGATCTCAAGTAGCATATAAGGGATGTGGGCCTCTCCACTCATTGCCAATTGGTTTTGAGTTGGAAGCCCATGTAACTTAACATGGTATCAGAGCCCCGATCCATACATTCCAACCCGATCCGACCCATAGTTGGTCCAATCATCGACCATGCCCAAAATTGGTGCTGGCGATCCAAGCCCGAACATACCGAGATCGATGGCCAAAGGGCCATCGTCTCGAGGGGGCATATTAGGGATAAATATCTCACATCGGAAGTTGGAAAGGATCTTAAGCAGTATATAACGGATGTGGGCCTCTCCATTCACAGCCAATTGGTTTTGAGTTGGAAGCCCATGTAACTTAACATCTTTATCAGGGACACGAAGTTCTGATGTCGACGATGCTCACTGGAGCAGCTATCATGGATGGTGCTCTGCTTCTAATAGCTGTCCACAACCACATACAGAAGAGCATCTCGCTTCTGTTGATATGATGCATCTTAAGCATATCATAATCCTTCAGAAGAAGGTTGATCTCATTACCGAGAAAGCCGCAATGGAACAGCATGCTACAATTCAGAGATTCGTCACGGTACCGTACTTTGATCTCCTCTTATCTCTTTGTTTTTTTGGTTGCATTTTCTCATCATATTTCTTTCCAGAACACAATTGCGGAGGGTGCACCTATAGTTCCAGTCTCAGGACAACTGAAATACAACATTGATGTTGTCTGCGAATACATTGTCAAGAAGATCCCAGTCCTTGTGAAAGTTTTTGTGTCACCGCCAAGGATGATAGTGATTCGTTCTTTTGATGTCAACAAGCCTGGCTCTGAGTGTAGTGACATGAAAGGTGGTGTTGCTGGTGGAAGCATCCTCCGGGTATATATACATATATATATATCTCTACTTATCTCTCACTCTCTTGTGCTCAAACATAGTTTTTATATCATGTTTTTTCTTTGTTTTGTTTGAAGGGTATGTTGAAAGTGAACCAGTTGATTGAAGTAAGGCCTGGTATTGTTGGCAAAGATGAGCATGGAAACGCAAAGTGCACTCCGATCTACTCTCGTATCACCTCACTCTATGCGGAGCAGAACGAGCTTCAGTTTGCTGTCCCTGGAGGTCTGATTGGAGTTGGGACAACAATGGATCCTACACTAACTCGTGCTGATCGTTTGGGTTGTCATGTTCTTGGTGAATTGGGTTCTCTCCCTGATGTCTTTGTCGAGCTTGAAGTGAGTTTCCAGCTTCTTACGCGTTTGATTGGAGCCAAGACAAAGGAAGCAGAGAAGCAGATGAAAGTTTTGAAGCTGGCCAAGGGAGAGATGCTGATGGTGAACATTGGGTCTATGTCTGCCGGAGCCAAGGTTATCGGAGTGAAGAAAGATATGGCGAAACTTCAGTTGACATCTCCGGTGTGCACCACTATTAAAGAGAAGGTAGCTCTTAGCCGCCATGTGGAGAGGCATTGGCGCCTCATTGGTAGGGGTCAGATTGAAGCTGGAACCACCATCTCCGTTCCTCCTCCTCCTGTGTTCGCTTGATATCTTTTGCATTGAAGAAAAATCAAAGTGTTTATTATATTATAACTAGACTTAGTTTGGTGAATCGTATCTTCTTGCGCAGGTTTGTTTACACAGAAGAAAATTTTGAAAGACTTTTGATTGAATAAAAGTTTGATAGTATTGTTACATGGATCCGAAATATGAATAAAAGTTTATAGTCACCAACATGTATAAACACACAATCACAGAGGTTGTAGTCACACATTTATAAGAATGGCTTAGAACCACAAGAACACTACAAAGCTGAACCGAAATCTGATCTCCTATTATATCTCTATGCTGTTTGGTTTCATTTTCTCATCATGTTGCTTGGCTAAACCGAAATCTGATATCTTAGGGCTCAGTTTCTTGTCCAGCAAGATGTTTGCAGCTTTTATGTATCTGTGGAGAATCTTTAGCCTCAAATCTTCATGGATATAAGCCAGGCCTCTTGCTATCCCGAGGCATATCTTCATCCTCGTTGGCCAATCTAAACTGATCTGAATCTGCTCGGGATCTATATTGGAAAAACACAATACTCAAAGCTAACTTGGACTCCAAGAAATAAACACAAATAACGCCCGTGTTAAACACCAACTCTTGATCTACGCGGGTCAAATAAACACAATATAATTAAGATGCGAGTATTGTGTCTTTAAGATATTTATATATTTCGAGAAAATCTGTTTTATTTAATGAAAAACAAACTAAAAATTTCGAGCTATATGACCATTGCTCTCACGTCTGAAGTCTCACCCCAGCAAATGCTATATATAATCACTGCCTTTCTCGAGTAAGAAGAATGAAATCTTTTCCCCTGAATTTCCGAAGAACATGGTAATGATTCAAACCGCTGTTGTACATGTGAACTTTCTTATTTTCGATGATGAACAAATTCTGTACATGCGAACTTTACTTTCTTAGAGTTTGAAGAAGTAGGGTTTCTTCAGTTTTCTTTTAGTTGCCTTTTTAGATTGAAAAGTGTTCTGTTTGAAAGAAGACCTAGTACTGGAACAAACCACTGTGTTTGACAAATTTTGTACATGCTAACGTTTTTAATTTACAGGAGGGTCATCAACATAGCCAACGATGAACCATTCCCAATTCTCATGGACGTGAGAACGCTCTTTTGCCCAAAACCGCACAAGCGGACCAGCTGGTTGGGTTGATACGTCAAGCTTTGAAAGAGATAGGCCTAGAAAAGTAATTTGTTCTCCATGTTGTTGTTGGAAAACCAAATCGGCTTGCTATATTACACAGCACTCCTACTTCAACTCTGGTCATGATCCATGTATATGTTATCAACCACTATTTGAGAATGACCAGGACTCCAGGAGGTGCCAAAGCAAGTTGTAGTCACTTGGATCAATGGTGAACTTGGGAAGATTGTGTCTGAGTGAGTGGCGATTAACGTGATAGAACCTTTTCCGAAGCTCCTTCCCCTTTTTTGAAATGGAAAGAGATTTGAATGCAAAACGGATGGTGATGGTGATCACTGGGGACATACATTACAGACCCAAGATATTGAGATTGAGAAAAGGTGGTGACGTCTCCGGTGTGCACCACTATTGGAGAAAAGGTGGCTCTTAGCCGCCGTGTGGAGAGGCATTGGCGTCTCATTGGTCAAGGTCAGATTGAAGCTGGAACCACCATCTCCGTTCCTCCTCCTCATGTGTTCTCTTGATTTCATTTTCATTGAAGAAATCAAAGTGTTTGTTATATTATTAACTAGATCAAACTAGTTTGGTGAACCATATCTTTCTTGCGCAGAGATATTTATTTTGTTTTCTATTCAGAAGAAGAAAAAATTGAAAGACAGGAAGTTCAAAAAAAAAAAAAAAAAAAATTGAAAGACTTTTGATTAAAAAACTCGAAAGTGGAAACACTATAGTTTAAAAAAGAAAAAAAAGCAAAGTGCTAATAACAAAAATGTCTTAACATTCTAAAGCCAGCCACACTTAGAGGTTACACAACTGTTAAAAATGAAAAGCATATGACTATGAAACAAACAAATAAATTAAGATCAAAATGCAACTCCATGTAGATAGATGTTTCTTTTCTCATGTGTTTAGCTTAAGTGAAGCGAGTTGCCGGATATTGATCGGAGAAATGTCGGAGGTGCCGCCGGAGAGGAGACGCCGGGCGATGATGAGGTTAGCATCTTCCGTAGGATGGTACGGATCCCAAAACACGTATTTGGAACGGTCCATACATACAATGGAAGATGGGCCACATGGAATCAGCCCACCTACTTTCCCAGCTAACGCACAACACGGACTCTTCTCATTCTCAAAACCTGCATTATTTATTTAAATTAATTATCACAATTACAATTTTGGTTTACGTTAAAATCTTGAAATAATTATACTTACCGTAAGATTCGTAGTTTTGGATAATATCGTAAACAATGCGGAAAACATCACCGTAGACGAATTTTGAGCCATTGAGATTAGCGTTTAAATCGTCCACGACGGTTTTAAGCTTGAGATTGTACATCTGAGCCATCTCATTTGGTTTGACCGAACATTCTTCCCCAGCTACCGGATCAGTCTCTCTCGAGAACGGTATGCAACCAATGGGACCCACATTTATCACCACGATTTTCCTCGCACCCAATTCGTACAGTCTCTACAAAAAAAATGCCAAAACCGGCGTAATTAGTTTTGAATCATTTAATCGGTTTGGTTTGGTTTGGTTTCGGTTTAGATTTTTACGGTTAGTTGTAATAGGAATTTTGAGATCATTGAATCGACGAACACTTCTGGAGGTACTTTTTGTTCAACGTTTGGTACGGCCGGAATGAAATAGTTGTTGATGAAATCGTTAGAACCGATGGTAACCGAGAAAATTGCTGACCGGAGTAGTTTAGCCGCCTCGGATTCACCGATCCAAGAAATGATGTCTTGTCTTGTGTTTGCGAAGTTGTCTAGTTGTGCATCCACATTTATCCGCTCTCCCTGATATTATTTTAAATTTTTGTAACAATTTTTCTATAAAAAAAATGTCTGAACTATATATATAAGATGTAAACTAAAGTGTGCTTACAAATAATCTTCCGGTGGAATTGAGGATTCCACCTGCGCCGGAAGCATAGTTGACGCCGTTGAGAATGACGGATCCTCTTGTTGTGGGTGCTAAGTACGGTGGAGTGAATTCATCGGAGCCTAATGCCTGCACTGCGGTTTTCAAAATTTCCGGTTTAGGGTTTATCTTGAGCGAGCCGTAACATTTAAAAAGTAATTAACCGAAAATATGGTTTCTGTAATCTTGGTTTTACGAGGGATAAACCGATCCAAAATATAACTTGAATCTTAAAATTTAACATTGCACTTGCAAGCAAGATTAATTTTTTGGGGTAAAATTTGCAGGCAAGATTTGATCGTAAGCAAACAGAATAAAACCGTTTGAAGCAACTTTCAGTTTGTTCTAACTTCTTTCTTTAACATTGTTTTACAATGGAAGTCAAAAGTCATATGTACTTATAAAGTTTTCGCATTAAATACAGTATTTATGTGATTGCGGCGTTAATTGACTTTTGCATGAAAACTTGGGGTATACAGTATTTGTTAAAAAGCAATTCGCATGTAAGACTACTAATAATGTTTACTTACATACGATATCGACGATTGTTCTTCCGTTTGTAAATCTTCCGGTAGCCGATCCAAAGTCGATCCCATTAGGAACAAAATTAGCCCTTGACAATGTGTCTATATAGTTGTTGTTTCCGGCATCCACCAACGAATCTCCGAACACAAAACTCGCCGGTATATTTTTCCCGGCGAGACACACTTCAGAGAAGAACAAGACGGACAATGCAACAACTTGGCAAAGAAAACCAAGCAACGACATTGCTAATATTTTTCAGTTTTAAAACGGTTTGTGGGAAAAAATATCAGCTAGAAAAGAGGAACTCTTTCTGTGAAGAACCAAACTTGACTATTACTATTATTTTTCCAAGAGAACAAAAAAATATTGAGGAAGAGAGGTGCGTGTGTGAAAATTAAAGATAAAGAAGCAGAGGTTGTTTATATAAGGTTTTTTATGTTGTTGTTCCCGTAACAAATGAGGAACCTTCATTGAGTATGTGGCACAGAACCATTAATGACTGTTAGTTTGATTCAGTGCTTTAAAAATTAAAGTACATTGGAGATGAGATGACCAATAACGAATAGTACAGACAATATTTATATCCACTCTTCTTTTTACAAAGAGTCAGAAAAAGTTGGCCGGTTTAGTAAAGTATTAATGGCCTAGAGCTACGAAGGCTGCAGCATAATCGTTATAATCAAAATATTTTTGATTAATTTTGTTGGGTAACATTTTAGACTATCGAGATCCAGTTTAATGTATGAACATTTATCTAAATGTGTAAAGTGTCTGCAAACGGATGAAATCATAAGAACATTTGAGTCCATCAAGGTTTATAAGTCATCTGAAATTCTTCTAACCAAGGCATATCTTATATATATATATATATATATATATATATCCGGTTAAAATTAATTCCCAAATCACGTGATTGAATTATTTAAATGCCAATTCATGTCACGACACAACGAGATTCTTAATTATGGTAGATCGAAGAGATTAATCATAATTACCCAATAATTTTTTAAAAAAGATCATCATTAATTTCTTCAACAACCTTCCATATATAGGTCCACGTAACTTTGAATATACACAAAACCCATGCTGTTACTAATGAAAAGAACGTGGTTACGTGGGGAATCTTTTTCGTTGTTCTTGCGACAGTGGAGAAGTTAATATATATTGTACTCTGCAAGACTGCAATGCAACTTCCACCAAACTCGAGCCTCATAATAAAATAGCAAAACGAAAAAAGATTAAAGATGAGTGCAAGCTTTTTTTTGATAGACCCTATCGGCTTCTGGTTAGCCCCGGGTAGGAACGCACAGAGGTGCTACAAAGTGGACTCATTCTAAGAACTACCACACCGTCTATTCCGAGTTTGGAGTGCCTTCCGACTAATGCCAGGGGGTAATCAGGCCGCCTGCATTTCTAATTACCAGACTGACAGACTTTCCACACAAATGTGATTTTTGTTTCTAGGGAGGATCGAACCCGGGTCTGGAAAACCTTGTGAGAAGTTAATGTTGCCTCTGAAAAATACAAACCTGTTGTTTAAAGGATGTTAGTGGAGCAAGTGGTCGTTTGTGAATTAACTCAACTTGTTGTCAAGAGTCAAGACAAGACTATTAATTATTTCACGACCTAGTCGAGAGAACGTGTGGTTGAGTAAAACAAGCTCCAATTGGATTCTAATGTCGATTCTACGTAGAGTTAATATATGCCGTTGAATTGTATCGTGTCATGCCGTGATACGATACATGGAACAGCCAAATATTTGTGATTTTGATTACATTTTTTTTTTTTTTTTTTTTTTTTGCACTTCGTGATTTTATTTATGATTTTTTAGTGGAATATATAGCGAAAGATCGATTTGCCAAATACTAAGATAAGTAATATATTGGGCTGAATTTTACTTAGCTTTTAAATGAAATAATAAAACATGCGGAACGAGTTAACGCAGCGGTTGTATAAGTTGTAAAAAAAGAAAGAAAGAGTTGTGGTTGCAAAAATAGTTTTGATGTAAATTTTAAACTGAAACCACAACAATTTTATTAAATTACATGAGACTTTTACAAATGTTTTTCTTGATGCCCATCAATGGATGTAGCCAAGTTGGGGAACTATAATCCTTAAAAGCATCATAAATAACGAAAGAAGAAGCTGTTTTCGGAAGTCCACCTGCGTATTGGTTCCTTTCACATCTATAAACTTGAAGCTAGCTTCTTTTCGATTATAAAATCTCACTCGTAAAGATGCTACGTCTTGGCTAACATTGAGGATCTTTTATGCTTGAATTAAGGACTTAGAATCACTTTCAAACTGAACTTCTCCATTGCCAAAATTGCTTACATAACTAGTTGTCCATACGAGAGGGCTACTGCTTCAATCTCTAGATAATTGGGAAAAGTAGGGTAAGTCTTACTTACACCCTACCCATTTCACTTGAACCTTTTAAAGCATTTCAAATCTCATGGTAAAACGGTCAAAACATACCCACAGTATTACCATATGTTCAATTTATACATGAAGCTTATCAGTATAAAAATAAATATCTAAAGTTTTTTTTTAAAATATCATACATTTTGTTTGACTTTTGGTGAAATCATACATTTTCCGCCACATCAACTAGTTTTGTTGACGTATATTCCACATGTACATCACAAAAAAAAATTGTTGATGAAAAAAAATTATATTTAAAACAAAATCTAATTGTTTAAAAAATGGTAGTTAAAACGAAAAGTAAAACTAATTAAAAAATAATTCAAAACTTATTCTTTTATAATGTCTTTTTTTCTCCAGCTTAATTCTGATTATATTTCTAAGAATGGGTGTATAATCATGGAAGTGATGGAAAATCTATTATCAATTAATGAAATTGATTGCAAATTTTCTTCTAATTTTAGTATTGTGAATGAAATAAATGACGTTGGAAAATATTGGCTCCATAAAAAAAGCATCTATAGAATAATAAAACTTTTTTGTTATATATATTTTTTTATTTTAATAAAAATAACTAAAATATATTAAATGTGAATATTTAGTTTTAAATATTCAATGTTTCATTAAAAAAAATATATATATGTGATGCATATGCATGTGATATTAATGTGGCATTAATGTGGCATCCATGTCATCAAATGATGTGGCAGAAAATGTATGATTTCGCCAATAAAATAAACAAAATGTATGATATTTAATTTTTTAAAAGTTTAGATATTTATTTTTATGATGTTCAATTTCAGGTATAAATTGAACATATAGTGATACTATGGGTAGATTTCGCCAAAAAAATAAAACAAAATGTATGCTATTTTATATTAATATAATTTAAAGATATAGTTAATTTTAATAAATAAAAATAAATAAACTACTCACATAATGTTACATGTGAGTGGAGTCTCTCAACAAATATTGACAAAAACAGTCTCTCAAATGAGAGTCGTCTCTCATTCTCTTTCCTCAAATTTTTTTTTTTTTTCCTTAATTTTGAGAAACTAAGCAATATATCACCGATGTAGATGCTCTTAGTATTCCATAGGATCCATCAAATCTCATTCGACCATATATATACATTCTTTAATTTTAAAGGTTTTTTTTTTATCAAAGAATGTACTCTTCTATCAACTTCACTAGAAAGAGTTATCAAGAAAAAAAGGTATAAAATCTAATCATACAGATATCAACTGTGTTTTAAATTTCGCTTGGGCGTTACTGGGACGGTCCGGTAGTACTGATATCTGTTATCTGATATCACTAGAGAACATAATTCAGACCGGTGGTTCGTTGACTTTTCACAGATGATTCGTTGACTTTGTTCACTTGCCGTTTTCATATTCTAGAAAACAAATACGTACGCAGCGTCCTACCTGAGCACAAAAACGGGACGCAGTTTATTAACGACAAAACAATGGCACACAAACCCAGGTTCTTCGTCATCTCTTCCTCATTGACTGCCTACTTCTCGTTGATCTTTCATCACGAAAACTGCAAACCCGATCGGAAAATTCGAAAATCGTTCTCACTGATCAGAATCTTGGAAAAATGGATCAATCAGTATGCGAAGATCTCATCCAGGTGAAGAAGGAATCAAGCGGGATCGCCATCATCACAATCAACCGTCCGAAATCCCTCAATTCCCTTACGAGAGCGATGATGGTGGATCTAGCGCGAGCATTCAAGGAGATGGACGCCGATGAATCGGTACAGGTCGTGATTTTCACCGGAGCGGGTCGATCTTTCTGCTCAGGCGTCGATTTGACTGCGGCGGAGTCGGTTTTCAAAGGAGACGTGAAGGATCCGGAGACCGACCCGGTAATTCAGATGGAGCGGTTACGAAAACCGATCATCGGAGCAATTAACGGTTTCGCCATCACCGCCGGGTTCGAGCTCGCCTTGGCCTGCGATATTCTGGTCGCTTCCAGAGGAGCTAAGTTCATGGATACTCACGCCAGGTTTCTTTCTTCTCTTACGACGCCGTTTCATCGTTCTCAAATTCTTCTCCCTATTTGTTGAAAGCTGGCTTATCTCTTTTGAGATCATGAGAACTGAATCTGGCAAATAGGTCAATTGCTTCTGCAGATTTAGCTTCGATAATGTTGTCAAAATGTGGAAGCTCATATTCACCATTTTTGTTAAAGAAGCTCATATTCACCATTCAAAATTCTACTTCTCTTAGTGTTGCCTTGAGATGAAATGTTGTTAAAATGTGTGAATCCTCTGTGTTTTTGAAGGTTTGGGATATTCCCATCTTGGGGTCTGTCTCAGAAGCTGTCGAGGATCATCGGAGCAAACAAAGCTCGGGAAGTTTCGTTGACCTCGTTGCCATTGACAGCTGACGTGGCTGAGAAGTTAGGGTTCGTGAACCATATAGTTGAAGGAGGAGAGGAAGCCTTCAAGAAAGCTAGAGAAATCGCAATGGCTATAATCAAGAATGAACAAGGAATGGTTCTGCGGATTAAATCCGTCATCAATGATGGACTAAAGCTTGATCTTGGTCATGCTCTTACTCTCGAAAAGGTTCAAACTTTTACCCTTTTTTTTCTTCTTAAAAATCTGTTTTGAAGTTTTTGATCAGTTAAACTGTACTTAAATACCGCAGGAGCGAGCTCACGCGTATTACAGTGGCATGACGAAAGAACAGTTCAAGAAGATGCAGGAGTTTATAGCTGGACGTGGATCCAAGAAACCTTCTTCCAAGTTGTAGACGATTTCGATGGATCTGTTGTACCATTATCTTAATTGACAATTTGATTAGTCTT